AGCCGCGCATTCGCGCGAGAATGGCGCCCGGCCGCGCGGTCGGCGAGCGCCTCAGCGAGAATCTCCGCCCACCCAAATGTAGAGACCATGGGGTTCAGCCGCAAGAACTCAAGGACGTCGCCCGCGGACCAGCCGCACTGGGCGCGTAACTGGCGGGTGCGGTCGTCGTGGGGGAGCGCGAGCGAAGAGGCCACCGGCGCCTTCGTGCGAATCCAGAATGGAAACTGGAACAGGATGTGGTGCCGAGTCTCCAGGCCACCCCCGCACGGACAGTCCTGGGGACCCGGGATGTTGAAGCGAGCGCGATACTCGCCACACGGGAAGTGGTTGGTCAGGACACGCGCCGCGCGGGCAACGTCCGCGTTAGACTTGCCGGCGTGCTTGAGAAGCCAGGTGGTGGCGGCAGTGGTACCGTGCAGCAGGGGATCATCGGACACCCACAGGCGGCGACCCCGATAGTGGACGGCATTGGCATCACGGGCGACGCAATCCCACTTGGACTTCATGCGAGCCTTGACCCGCGCAAGGGCGAGCGAATAGGACACGAAGTCCGGCTGGTCCGCGTCGAGAGCCTCCTTGGCGAGCGCATCGACGAAGCAGACACCCTTGATTGACCCCGAGAGATGCGCAACGCCTAGGCGACGTCCCACAGCGGTCTAGAGAATGCAATTCTCCCACCAGGTTGTTGGACGCACGGAGATCCCCGGGCGCTTAGAGAAACAAAACAGGATCTTCTAGTTGTTTCTTGTGGCTGAGTTTCCCTGTTCGAATCCGGTCGAATGCATTTTTATTCAAAGAACCTTTAAAAACTGTTGTAGACCTACTTGTACACTGTGTGCAACAAGTAATAACGAATGGTCTCTATCAAATATATTTGGGTAATAGATGCCAAGGTAGGCTTATTCAAATTTCTTACTGCCCCAAGATATATCCCTACTAATATTCATTGCGCGAACGAGACTTAGCCATTACTGCACTGCTTTCTCAGATTCCCCAAAGTACCTATTCAGCTGGGAAGGACGCTAGAGATTTGGGCAACAAGGAGTGTGCACGTGGCTATTGCTAGCACGGCGATCTCCGTGCGTCCAAAAACCTGGTGGGAGAATTGCATTCTCTCAGCGGTCTTAATCAACGATGACACAGTTAGGTGAGTTTGAGTTTTGCAGGGAGTTGAAACACGTTGTTGAGCGCATTGAATATTGAGTTCTGCAGCGATGTGAAACACGAGGCTCAGTGCAATGGGTATTTGGGCAATGGGCATAAGAGTAGGACACAAGTATTGACAAGTTCAAGCAGGCAATACGACATGACTGTGGCAGTGACTGACAGGAAAACTAGACAAATCCACCCGTTGCTTTGGACATCAAGGTAATGCAGGACACGCGGTATAAAGTCAATCAATGGAGGCCCTCCGCAAGGGTGACGAGACCTCGAAAGCGGCTGTTGCCGTGCTGCTAGACTCCGGGCGCCTTTCTTCTGCCAAATAGCACGGACCGACATAATGGGTCTGTTCCAAAGTTCTGCAAATCGTCCAGATTCTGCGGGAAGGCATCCAAAACGTCTAAGACATCTCTTACTTTCAGTTCTACTCGGCGCCATAGTCTGGACCAATCGATCATTCGTGGTTGTGCCAGGTCATTCGTGGTTGTGCCAGGTCATTCGTGATTGTGCCAGGTCATTCGTGGTTGTGCCAAGTCATTCGTGGTTGTGCCAGGTCATTCGTGGTTGTGCCAGGCCATTGAGAAGAACCCAAGGGGGTTCTTTCTCCATGAACACTGAGAAGTCGCCGGACATGGTCATATCCCAATGGCTGCCGGCGTGGCACACTGGCACGAGGCGTCGGCACCTTCTGAGACTGAGAGTTCCTCGCGGTCTAAAGTTCGGCGTTTCTTATCTTGTGATGGAGGAGGATTATAGGCTTGACTGACGGCAGGCGCTTGTTGGATTCTACTATGAAATCGGTCTGTCTGTCTGTCTATCCGTCCGAAGCTGGCCATATATAAAGCTCTACTTGCAGTACATCATGGTTTCCCCAGCACTCGTCACTCATCTCTTTGTTCCCGGGTTCCCTTACGATGGCCCGCTACTGGTTGCTGCAAATTCGATACATTGCATGGCAGGGAGTTCCGATGTTGCGTCACCTTTCCCAGTACTCTGTCGAACAGACTGGACCTCCAGGTGTTCAATTGGCAGCGATTGAGCAAGATCCTTCGCTCGCATCGCGTTTGCAGGGCTCCAAGCTGTCTGCATTTCCCGGTATGCTGGCAGTACGACCTTCAGTGCGGATCCACGTATGTCATGTCCTCTCACGAATGGATCTGATCTGAAAACTATGAGCAGGTATTTGGATATAAAGCGTGGTCTTACCAGATTCACGCATATCCTGACCGCGGGGGTCTCACTATAGAGGACGCCGCAATAGCACTCACAAAGGTCGTCCGCCGAGCCTACAATGTACTCACCGTCTCCCATACACACTCGTGCAGCGCCAGCTAACATCAGTTGCACGCAGGACCTGGTAGAAATGGTGTGCCTTCCTGGAGGATGGCCACTCGGCCCAGGTGGCATTACCTTCGATCAGCTGTACCTCGTGGACGTGTACCAAGTCTCGCGCGGTTCCATTCAGCTTGATCTCACCGCCGAGATCCCAACGCCTACAGACTAAATTTGAGCTATACGACAGAGGTTTGGATGCCGTCTCGATTTCGAAGAATAGTGTATGACTTGTCGCAGCTAGATCGCTTCTCCATCGTGTCTCATATGTATGCAGTCTCGAAGGCTTACCATGTTTTCCCCCTTGAACTCGTAATTAATAATGATAGCGCAGTCCATCGTCATGTACAAATATATAGCGACCTACCTCGTAGAATTTATTTGAATGTTCTGTAAGTGTCCTGTGGGATGTATATAACTCTATTCTGCCGTTGAACTCGCGCGGGAACGAGCGAATTCTCGCTGATCTCAAATGTCTAGATGTCGCTGGAAATAATTCTGACCAGCAGCCGCGAGCGTGATTGCGATATTACCATTGGAAGTGCAATCGACCTTTACGGTAATCAATCACATCACCGCGTGTGGTACTTACCCCTTCGTTCTGTGCTTGCTTCTTTGTATGTTCGCTGGCTACAAGCCGGGTCAAATATCATTCAATTTATATCGTCTTCGATCTCGATCTCTGCCAGAAATATAATAAAAATCAGTGCCTGGAGACCCAGGTAAGTATACTGACACTTACCATATCTGAGTCCGCCCATCAGATTGCCGGTGCCTGACAAGCCTTGCTCTAGTAATTGGGACCAATTCTGATCTGAGTATTGTAACATATATTCGTCGACAAATGGGTGTGGAGATTTTACGCGTTCCTGCATCGACTGGTCTACAAATGGACAAAGTAAGTACTTCACGATGATTCAAAACATTCCTGCCACTGCCCGTCGCCCCCATTGCGCGCATAGGCCTGACTCTCCACGAACTCATCCAGGCTACACACTCCATCGCTGCCCGCCCCACAAAATGCGAGCGGCTGCACCGCCTGGTTCACCAACACGCGCACATACTCGCCCTCCGCGCCCTCCCCCGCGCTGGTGCTCACCGCGCCCGCAGCACAGCTCAAGCGCTCGACGACCATGCGCGCGGCGAACGGGACGAGCTTGCTCGCGACCCACGTCGTCGCGCCGCCCGCGCCCGTGCCCTCCGTCCGCTCTGTTTTGCTCAGCGGCGCGGACTGCGCGAACATGCCCATCGCGGCGTACACTGCGATCATGAGGTTGTCGTGCGTGAAGTCCGCGTAGAGCGCGCGCCCGAGCGGGAATGTCGCGGGCGACGTGTCGAGCGTGCTGTTCGTCGACGTGCTGTCGTTGACGGGCGTGTCGGTCAGGCGCGCGAGGAGCTCGTTGATGTAGCCGACGCCGTTCACGGGGCCCAGCGGCTGGCCGTAGCTACACAGAACGCGGCCACAGGGTAAGCGCACCTTCGGCAAATAGTATACTGGAGCATCGGCGGCGGCGCGTACACGTACCCGGTGTTGTAGTACTTGTCCAGACTTCCCCAGTACTCGTACCCGCTAAACGCGTCCAGGTCGTCGAACAGGTCGCACCACTCGCTGCGGTTGCCCGTGCCGACGCTCACGAACGGGCACATATTGATGAGATACTGCGTGTCGTCCGCGTCGAGGTCAGCGCCCGGCGCACCCGCGTTGAGCGCGGCGGTGATGTTCGGCGTGTACGTCGTAATCCAGACGTCCGTCTCCGAGCCGGGCAGGGGTGACGAGCTGAGCGCGGGGCAGGAGGCATCGTCGAGTGTGTCGTTGCCCTAAAGAAGTATGTCACAAGTATAGGCAGGAACAGCAAACATGAGACATACATTTTCAGATATGATCACAGATAGGACGGGCGCGAAGGTTTGATTGCTTGCGGCGGCAAAGCCTGAAAGACAGTGTGAGAGGTACACTTGGCCACGCTCTCACCTCAGACGAGTTACCTGCTGTCCAGTTTGTGGCTGAATCCACGACGCGTTGACTGCTTGACGCGCGCACAAACGGAAGGTTATCCGAGGTGATCAAATACGCATACCGCAGGAATGCCTGTTCACCTGCGTCAAATGACCTATAGCAATGTATGCGCACATTGGGGTACATGTTTCTTTAGTTCTGGGCAGTTGTGAGATGCGCATATACTCACTCTTGCGCGCCGAACGGGACCAGGTCATCCTTGCCTAGAGTGTATTCGAAGTCCGGGATGAAGCTGAGATCGCTGGAGAAGCTCGACGCCGACTGGATCTTCTCGAGTGCCGCCTTCATGTCCTTTCCCTTGGATTTGGTAGGATACCGTGCGCCATGCCGTTGTAGCTGTGCGCAGTGCCACCAATAAGCCATGAAATGCGAGAGAACGAGGACCGACGTACAATGTTGACCTGTGGAGGGTGACAAGCAACGAGGTGTGAGATCTCGGTGATTAAAGTGTCGAAGTACGGATATATGCGGGGCAGTACGCAGAAGGTCAAGCATGGACATCAGACCTGATACATTGGTCTGATCGGACCAAACCGCATGTCCTCCATGCGTCAAGAAGCATATAAGGGCACACACAGATCACTGGCTCCGTCTTCTGCACTCGAGTCTCTCTTACTCTCTCGTCTGAGGCGCGCCATGCACTGCAGACTGGCTGGAGTATTGAAGTTTGCAGGTGTGGGTATCGTCACAAGAGATAAATCCACAGGCGGCATCCTAGTACGCTCACAAATGAAGGCGTACCACCGTCAAGGTAGATTGTACCACCCAGGGGCGCCAATAACAGCAGACCCACCTGCGTGATTTCGCATCCGACCGGTGGCGCCGTATACGGGTCGACGGGGAAGTAAGGTGAGTATTGACCCCAACTTTCGCTTCCGTTCCCAAAGACGCCTTCCGTACAGCTCAATGCTGAATCTAGTAGCTCCTCGACGTCTGATTTCGACCAGGGCGATGATGCCAGAGTAACATATGCGCAGAAGATGTAGAAGGAGACCGCGACTAGGAGTAAGCTGCCCATCCTGCCTCGAATTGCACGGGAGGCTCCGTGAGCAGTGCTGGGTACGCTGGGAGCATGGTCGATGAGGCCTTTATATATTGAGGGGCGAGGAGAATGTCGAGCGTGTGCGGGGAAGGGAAGCCCATGTGGGGCGGGTCGCTTGGGCATGCCGCGGACAGGACAAGACTGCTACAAGAGCATCGGTGGGAAGCGAACGAAACTGAAAGCGGCGCGCCCACACGATGGCGGCCGTGCACGTTCGTCGACGTCGAAAATACACTTATAGCATGCCGCGTGCCCAATCAGCGTCCGTGGGGACACGTTCTCAGCCTCCTCTGCCCAGGCACCCGTCTAATCTCCGATCACAGACCTGCTCGGCTGGGCAAGGATTCCATTCAGGGATACACGCCCAGTCTTGGCGTCCGCTACGCTGAGGCTCACGGCCTGCAAAACGGATTCGACGGTGAAGTTGAGGAAAGTGATCGTGACTGTATCGAGGCCAGGTCGGTTGATTTTGACAACGATCGTCGATCGATCCGGAATCTCACGTCCCCTCGGCCTTCGGAGGCTTTTATTTCTTTTTGCCGACCATCAAGCTTACGGCAACACATGGAAGCAAATCTGTCTCTTTCAAGTGGCCGACCCGCCGCGGCGAATAAAGTCATATTTTCATCAGCTCGTCTTCCGATCGACGTCCGAGTAGTGCTCTTTGACAATCTCTCAACTGGAGAGAAGGCCAACGGAGTTGCCATCTTGGCATACACCTTTCATCTCGAGAAAGTTAAACCGGGTAGGTCGCATCCTCGCATGCATGCCAACATGACTGACAGCAGCTGGCATCGATGTATTGGTGCTACACACGATGTACTGCGGTATAGAAGCGCACGAACTCACGGGAGTTCATGTTGTCGTGGGTGTTTTCGAGTTTCCGTAAACACATCACTCGTACGTGTGCAGGTGGAGTCGCACGTGCCTTGTTCAGGCGTGCTCGGGGATACATTCATGGTTGAAATATAGACGGTCTGGCGAGGTACGCCACGTCTGTTCCTGTTGCATGTTCAAACGTTCATCGTCTGTGCCACATGTAGCACGTAATCTGATCTCCATCTCCGATAGCTATAAGTATCAGGTGGTCTGTAAACTGAAAGGGGTCGCTATTGCAGATACAGCGTGATCCTCGGCATCCCGTGACGCCAGGACTGGATGCTGTGACCAACTTGAGATATTGATGTCGATGAATAAGTGACTTGACGTGAGCAAGGCGCACACAGGTGCACGACGCGCCAGAGGATCATGGTGACAGTGAGTGTGGTACGAGGTAGCGGCAACGGCGGAGTGCTGAACAGATGGAACTCAAGGTCATCTCCCAGAGAACCGCCATACGCGGGCTTCCTTCCTTCCTTCCTTCCTTCAGTTTCCCATTATGCGCCGAGCGAGCACAAACTTATGCGCCGCGTAACGGTGCGTATCATAAGCGAACTGCATCAGAACGTCCCGAGTATAGAAGCTGCGGGAAGGGTACCCGAACAAGTCCTAGCAGGTCTAATTGCTTTGCTCTTCGAACATTCATAGAGGTTTGCCTTTATGACCACCCAAAGTTACTATGCTCCGGGATGTCTGACTGTGATGGTTGATAGTCCTGCAAGTATATGCGTCGCTATATGGCCTTGATCGTGTGATTTAGAGGCGTTGAGATCTGCCTAGGACATTCCGCATATCGATAGCCTGGGGGTTAGTACAGATCAGGCTTCCACTAGGCCGACAACACATGGAGTAGGCACGGCTTCCCTTCGAATCAACGAGGCAAACCGGCCGATGAAATGCATTATATTCATCCTTGCACGTGTTTTTCTTCTGATTTCCAGTTCCCCGAGAGTGCCTCCAGGTTGTTAGTGATACACTATGGTCGGTCGCCTCTAAAATGCCAGAAATGAGCTTTGGAATACTTACTTGTAGTTGTGAAGCCATCAAAAGCGGCGATGACAAACATGGATCGTTTGATATACCACCGCACAACAACAGGCACAGTTATTTCGAACTTTTCTATCTCACAATATGTACCTTAATGTTTCATTTTGATCCCAGGCTTGCGAAGATGGGATGACGGATGACGAGGTGGAGTATAGCGAATGGTATGAACTTTAACTTAGGAATGCTCCGCCAAGGCGTGCACCCAAATACGACGCGTCGGACGGTCCATTCCTGATGCCTGAAAGCCTAACAGGCCGAGACATCGGCCAAGTTCGGATGTGAAGACAACCGTAAGCCTGAGTCTGGAGCCTAGCCTGCTCGTGCTGAAGAAACTCGTTTAAGGAAGCAGTCTACTGCTTCGAACATATACGATTAATCAGCTTCACGCTTGTCTCATCTTCTTTTCTACGTCATGTTGCGTTCATGTTGAGAGTTGTTTGTGACACCCGTTCTGCGGGGCTTCGTGTTATATATACGGCGATGATGCCACGATATGCAACTTCCCCTTACCCTTATTTCGTTTTCCTCCCTCGTGAACTGTTGCGCGCGTACGACTCGAACTGGTAAACTTTCGTAGTAAAGTCGTGCTTCGTTGACTAGCACGGACGTGCGACGCGTGTGTCGCACGCCTTGCTTCTTTGTGTTGTCCGGGTCGTCCATCGTATCGAGCTTTTTTGTTTCATATTTACGTGTCTTTGCGCATATGACACGGCGTATATATTGACGAGGCGTTCTGTTGGTTAGCACTTTGGTTGGATCAAGGTTACGATCAGACACGAGGCTATGGTCAGCGGTAGCGCCCCGAAAAGGCAGATAGCTAGACCTTCCCTGGCAGGCGCCTCTTGAACGCCGACCGGATAAACACTATGCCCTTCTCCCCCACCAGCGGACTCTACGCCGTCTTATATCCGCCCCAAGCAAAGTGCACGACCCTCCAGACGGACGACTAGCCTGCCTCGACCGCTTAGCTTCCCTCTATCCTGTCTCTTACGCAGTGCGTGAGCTTGAGCTTGAGGTTGTCTAACACGCGCAGTCTGCGAGGGTCGCCGCGGCGTTGCACATAAATTACCAACAACATGTCCTCTCGCGAACACCTCGGCGAAGGGGAGGTCCGTGCCGGCGGGAGCAAGTCGGACATGGCGCGTACACCGTCCTTTGTCCAGTTCACGCCGAAGAGCGCGATGGCCTCGTTCGAAAACCTCGTCGCGCTGGCCAACTACGAGGAACATCTACGAGAAGCGAGGAAGATCGTGTGGCGTGACCGAGGAGAGCTGCCTGTAGAGTTAAGGGACCTGACAGAGTGCCTCAAGCATGCAGGGAAGGGCGGGTTGCGTGCGTGCTCAGTGTCATAACTATATACGCGGTCGCAGTACTTACCCCACGGTGGGGAGGACAGGATCGGGCGCATTAGCGTTCGCGATTCGTGCGGGGGTGAATTTGATCTTATTGATGACGAGGATCAAGAGAATTCCCAAGTGAGTGTCGCATCACAACTGGATGTTACATTTGTAGGGTTGTCTAAACTCTCCCTTGTTTCATCTGTTCGAGCGTCTGGTGTAAATCTCGTTCTCATTGTCAATGACTGCAGGAATTATCACTTTGCACTCATTCGCCATGCCGTCTTTGGCCTTGACTCCTTCCGTTTTGCTGCCATGCTTGGTGTGTTTTTGACTAATGTTTAGTTTTACTCAAACGCAACTGACCCATTTACTCACGTGCCCAGGGTCATTCGTTACCATCTACAAATTCATCCTCAACGCGCTCCCCATCCTCCCTCAACCCCCTACACGGCGTACTAGTTCACTCGGCCGACGCTCACGCTCCCTCCTCCGATCAGCTCCACCCCCAGATTCTCCTTTCACTGATGCCTCTGACGAGGATGATGACATCGAAATGGCGCGTCCGGAGGTGCGCCGCGGGTCGCGGCATGCGCGGCTGTCGGTCAGCGCGCAGGCGCACCAAACATGGGCACGGAAACGTACGCGGAGGTGGTACGCAGTGCTTGCGGGCACGGTCGCAGGTGGGGTATCAATCCTGTTCGAGAGAAGAGAGAGGAGGGTGGGGATTGCACAGCAGATGTTCGTGAGGTGCGTTTGTTTTCTCGTATAGTATTGTTCAGGTCTACCCGAAGACTGAGAGGTGCGTGTTAGAGGTCTCCAAGGGTCGGTGAACGCATTATCATCTAAGCATGGCATTCGGATCCCTCATGGAGATGTACTTGTGTTCTCATTATGGTGGGTTATGCATCCACCTGTTCAGTCGGTCTTGATTTCACTGAAGATACTTCTATCATGACACCGAACAGCTGCGGACAGATCATGTACGCATGGTTTCTCCGTCCAGAAACACTGCCACGGTCGTATGTCCATTGGTGAGTGAGAAGTCTTCCGCCGACTCATGCATCTATGTGTCTGGTCCGCTCATTGTGCGTGTATACAGGATTGCTACAGCCAGCAGAGTTCATCCAGAAACGCTTGCAATCCAACGAGACCTTATTGTACACGGGAGGTTTAACGTCAGGGACATGGAGGCGTTGCTAGCAAAGGTACTTTCAGCCGGCTATACATTAAGATCTCTTATGGACAATCCCGACAGGAAACGACTCCCGCCAACCGTTCCGACATGCTCGCGCGTATTGCACTTGCGACGGCACAGCCACCCTCCCAGTCCTTCGGGCCCCCATTCGTCCCATGCTCCGCGTTACACCCCTGGCTGGACTCATGCCCACAGGTCCAGATCGACCGCTTCTTCAAAGTCGTCCGATGGATGCTGCCAATATACGGCGCGCTACATGTCATCCCGATGCTGCTGTTCCGACGGAACAGGGTATGGAAGGAACCAGGGAAGATGTTCCTGAGGGCGGGGTTCGGCACGGCGAGGAGCTCAGCATTCCTCGGAGTGTTTGTGTTCATCTATCAATGTGGGTTTCCTCAGCCTGACGAGGAAAGCAGTTTGGTTGCTGACCCTGAGCATGTGTAGCATTCTTCTGTCTGAACCACAACATGTACAACGACCTCACGGCACTTCGAGCTGTGCCCTCGCCCACGCTTCTCGCACGTCTGGCAAAGATTCTCCCGCAGCCACTCGTCGACGCGCTCGTTGGGCGCAAGAGCTACTACGCGATGGGCATCCTCGCGGGCCTGTCGCTCTTCGTGGAGGACAAACGCCGGCGCGAGGAGCTCGCAATGTATGTACTGCCGAAGGGTATGGAGAGCGCGTGGCTGACAGCAAGGGGGCGGGGGTGGGTCGGGAAGACGGGACAGTGGGGCGAGGTGTTGGTGCGTCCTTCTCGCAAAACCCATTGAGAAGAGATGCTCACTCGACTGTGTTACGTGATAGCTAACAGCAGTGAGCATGGGCATGGTGATGGTATGTTGAACATCTTTCTCTGAGTAGCATGTATTGACGAGTCTCCATCGGTGCACTGGCAGAGCATATACCAAGTACGTTGTTGCTCGCTTTGTTAACACTACACCGCGCACTGACCCCGGCCACAACCCTAGAACGATCCGCAACACCTTTCTGGGCTCGTGCGGAGAATCCTTTACCAGTTCGTCGGTCCGAATTAGTCGAGCGATGTGCTTGATACCTTATTTTGTGGCGGCTGTCGTCCCGTGTCCGAGCATCCCATCCCACTCACATTACTTTTGTTCATAATGTACCTTTTTTTTTAGCATCAATGGTTTCTTATATGCGAGCTATTAGCTACCCGTTATATGTAGCTTGTTCATGTTTACACTGCCACGACACCTTAGGATGTATGAAATGTAACGAAGTTGGGTCTTTGCATGCATGTCAATGCCACGCTAGACTAGAACGACTAAAATGTCTCATAAGGAGTCGACGAGTAAAAACAAAAAACAACTCTCTGGCGGGGAGTCGAACCCCGCTTTCGCGCGGTCTGCACACAAATGGCCGTCGGTGACAAGCGCGTGTACTAACCGATATACGACCAGAGACTTGTTGAAAGGGGCAGATAGAGCCTATATCACACCACTCCAATCGCTTGCACACACTGGAAGCTGGAAGCCACACTATCTGCGAACTTTTCTTCATTCCCGTCCATTTCACCCCGTCCAAGTTGCACTCTGTTGCAACGCACCACTAGCCTCCGCAGTAGGAAGAATGGGTGCAGTCACTATTCATGAAATAGCATCTGAGGCTCTAGAGGTCGTACCCGTCGTACTTGATTTGCGGTTCAACGAAAGAAGTCGATCCTGCCTTTAAGGTTCGAACAGACTTACCAAGTAGCGAATCCCCTGGCACGCCTCAAAAGGCAGCTTTACTGCATAGTCGAACTAGCGTCCAGGGTAGCCTTCGCTCATATTTTCTCCCCAGGGACTTCAGGTATGAGTGACTCGCCGAGCCTGAAGACAATGAGGAACATGCACGGACAAACATGAACCACAACATCGTCGGATAAGAAGTATGTAGTGGTTGCATAGCTGAATACAGTAGATATCAATTTGTGTTGAAGTACTCATCAATACACCACAGCTTCTGCGTCGTGCGCTCATTCCTTACGCTTAGAGGCTGCGAAAACCGCCTTCCTAGTTTCGAAGGTCTTCCGTACCGGCTCCATAGCCATCATAGCTGAATGCCATCTGCGCCCGAAATGGTCAGCGCATATCAAATATTGTACGTATACTCTATAGGCTCACTTGTACAGCGCCGGGAAGTCCTTCTCGATGTTGTACCCATGCTCTTCGGTCAGGACTCTCGTCAGCGCTAATTCGTTCCACCTTTGATATCACACATTCAGCAGAGGTGTGGAGACCAAGGATGCGGCACAAAGACTCACGGGACAAATGACAGGTCTGCAATGGTCAGCTTATCGGCAACAAGCCACGTCCTCTTAGACAAAACGCTGTCGAGTACGCCTAGGATGCGCAACGTCTCGTTCGTGTACCGCTCTATGGCGCTGGGTACCTTCTCTGGGTGGTAGTCCGTAAACCATCCTAATTGACCATAGTATGGACTTCGCATCGGGAGGACGACGGAGGTTAGCTGATTGAATAGGAAGATCTGTCGGAAGCTCACCCCTGTCCAGAAGCTTGGAAATAGAGCCACTGCAGCTGGGTAAATTTGTCGTTGCCATCCGTGACGGAGATCTTGTGGTCGGTATCGTACTTCTCTACTAAGTACAGCAAGATTGCGTTGGACTCCCTGAAGGGTATTCGTCAGGGCGAATGCCTTTTGTGGAGGGGGTCACTGAGATCCTACCAGAGAACAAAATCGTCATTTTTGTGGTCTATAATGGTCGGGATGCGCCCGTTTGGGTTAAATTTCGTGTGGCCCGCTGCCTTCTGCTCGCCCGTCTTGAAGTCGAGGTATACCGTCTCATACGTCAGGCCCAATATTTCTAACGCCAGAACAACTTTCCTATAGAGAACACGTGAGTCGTCGTCGCGTGTCATGCTCGTCGTGTTGACCAGAGTCCAAGAGCAGAGAAATTGCGTACCAGCCATTTGGTCCTCCAACATGGGAGTAAAGAGTGAAGTGCTTCCCATCCGACATAGTGTCAAAGAAAACAATGGACACGAGGAGTCTCAAGTTGTTCTAGTGTTCGGTGTTGATACATTGAGAGTAACCACCTCTCTTTTATACTGGCAGATAACGTGAGTAGAATGGTTTCGCACGAACCGCGACTCGATTAATAATGTTTGTGAATAGTAAGCCAGGGCATAGCATGTTCCCGCGATGCGCGAGCGTCGGCTATCGTCGACAAGACCATGCCCGAGCATGCCCGGTTACGCGTCCTTCGGCAATGTTCGCCTGATGACGTACGTACATACCATAATAGCTTTTGGGGGCTCATGATCAGACGCGATCCGCGCATACTGCCGATACGCCCCATCCCGCTAGCCAATGGCAACGGTATTTCAACCGCTACATTGAATGACTCCGCTGGGCTGTGGGCGGGATTGATGGTGCGCACTGATCCAGGTGGACCCGAGTTTTTCGGATTCCGCCTTTTTCGGATCATGCCATGTAAGCCAATGGGCCCTGTAACTGCGCTTTAAATGCGCTGTATTGAACTGCGCTGTAACGGAGCGCTTGGCGTGACTGCAGTACCGCTCTTGTTCATCTTAGTACTCTATGTCGCCCATCGCTAATCACGTTGGCAATCGAGTCGACGACGCCGCTTTGTAGGAAGGTCGTGTTCCGGCTTTGCACTTGAAGGCCTAGGCCTCACCTAGGAGACGGCATAGTCCAGCTTCGAACATAAGTCTCCGGAAGACCTAATATATAACACCAACGGACAAGTCCCTACCATCATCAACCACAGAAACAATGTTCCTCTCTATGCAACCCTCTACGCTACAATACATATATAATAGTACAAAGAACATATATATGAAGTGAATGTATTCTTAGCTATTCTGAAAATACGACAGCACCGCGCGGTGAGTCATGTGGTTTGTTCAACCGCTCAATCATCAGAGAAGTGACTCTGTCGAGGGCTGCGGAAGATAGTGGGCGGACTCCAAAGGCCCTGCTCTAGAATATCGGCATCTGCATAGCCAACACGATGCATAGCCGTCCTGCTTGCCCGCGGAAGTTGCGGCAGGGTTTCCGCTTGCACCTGGAAACTGAGGTACTGCAATATCATGTCAGCTTCGGGAATGCCGCAGTTGCACAAATATCTCACCCTCCCGCTGAGATTTCGGGGGCTGCCTGGTTCTGTCTTGCTGCTGTATCTGATTGATGGGGACAGCAATGGCTTCATAGATTGGCCCGAGGTGCTGAGATTGTGCTGACGTGTCCTGCGCAGGTCTAGTCGTGCATTCAGTGTAGCAAGCAGTGCATTGAGCCCAACTGACAAAGTAGTCATTCTTAGCATGCGAAACATGCAGCCAAAGCAGCATACACACGTTTGGGGAGAACGAAGAACAGAGCGATAAAGATGAGGTTGTCGGGCATGGTGATGTACTAACCGCGAATGAGATAAGAACAGGGAAACGAAAGAATCAACGTACAGCCACCAGACAAGCAATTTCACACAGGCTACATAGGGCAGGTTATTGCTGAGTGTTCGAAGTGCTTCGATACTGATGGTCGCATACCTGGTAAGAGCACCGCTATTTATACCGTATAGCATCAGTGTGCGGACCATGGAACGAGTGCTTTCGAAAGCTTCAGTTAGCATCACGATATGAGGACATTCACAGACGACTCACTTTGAATAGCGCGTCCGAATCCTTTGCAGTAAGATGCATAGAGCAACGGCGACGATGCAGTCAGTGCATACGCCTGCGCCTAGGCTCATGTACATGATCCACTGCAGTGACGAGATCTCACATGAGTAGGTGTGCTTTCCGGGGCAGCGCCACACACACCGAAATCTGCGACAAGTGAAACACGTCGCCAACGACCAGGAAGCTTTTGATTGAGAATACTACAAGTCATTGTGAGCCCAAAGATTATCCGGACATGAGCACAGTAAAGCTCACCGATGCTCCCCGCTGACATGAAGAACAACGTCTATGAGACACAAGAATTTATCAGAGCGTATAAATGCTCACCGAATGCGGCGGCAGCGCTCGCAGCCTTGTGGCCATCAGCACATCAAATTCACAGTTCGCATAAGAGTGTATGGAGAACATACAATCGTAGTGGTCAGCCACCAGTTACCCTTGCTCACTATCAAGCGCAGGAGGGATCAGAATTAGGCGATGTACAGACACATGCGGTATGCTCACGGTTCCACATCCTCTGGCAGAATAAGCTGGCAACATGGAGTGTTGGCTCGCAGCAAGAGAGCCAGTGTTTGCTTTTGCTCACCTTCTGATGATAACATCGCTGAGACCCTGGAGCCGAGAAAGCTCAACGAAGCGAAGACAACCTCGTGCAAAGATGGCGCACCGTTACAATGATATGTCCCTTCAGGCTCCTAGTTGGCATAGTGAACGGGCAGAAGTGAGGTCACAATCAACCTCATCGGTCGGGAATGTCCTCCTCACCATGACGGTACAATCCAGGCTTTTGGATCAGAGAAATCGCTGACGGCACAGGTGTACACCGTGCGAGTAATCAACGCGAGATGCAGCGAATCAAGCAGCCTGTGTAACATGAGTCTTGCTAATAAAGTGGCCCGTCAAATTATGCGCGCACCACAGGACCGCAATCTATGTTTCCACGACGTACGGGATGTCAGCCCAAGGCATGTTGATAGAAGGGTAGATAACGCACGGAACACCTGAGCAATCTAGTGTCCTTCTGGCTATGCTTAAAATAGATGTAGGTCTGCACGTTGGTAGTACCGTACAGTCTGAAGAGTGTAATGTCAATCTATCGATCTCTAAATCCTGAGTGCGTGCCACTCACACAGCAGCCGCAAGATTACCTGTTCATGGAAACGTTTAGCGGCGCCTGCGGGAATTCATTACAAATAGGGCATTACCGAGGAGTGCAGCTCCTAAAGTATCATTCAAAGAGGAATGTATGAAGGGAACCGACATTGACAGCGTGGTCGAAGGTCTGGAAGCTTAGAAGGGACGAACAAACCCGAAGCATGACCCGCCTGCAGTCCTGCGCTACGTATTTTTATATGAAGAAAGAGACACCTAACAACTAACCGGCCGTTCGGGAACTGCACGATCACAACTATAGAGAACACTGTCCGCGGGGCAACTGGTAAGAGATCTTCCGCGAGGCACAGCCTCTGTTCAGGTTGTCGTTCAGAATCGCTTCTGTGCTATTTGAATTCCCTGCCTCACCTATAAATGTGCGGGAGCGTCCAGGAATGCATCGACTGTCACCCCTTCCCGAGAGAATCAACAAAGATACGGGAGACGGTCAGTGATCGTGGCAGTGCATTTGACATAATCTGGTGGTAAACAACGTCAACTGAAAACCTATGACGAGCCTAGACAGAGATGAGACAGGCCTGCTCATACCGACTGAGGCAGAAGTGACATTGACAACACCAGCACGACCGTGCCTGGTTGCTTATCGGGAACTCCGGGGAAGAGACGTGTTGACAGAGATCGTGTTAGTGATGGCCGACACCGAGATTCTCTGCGTAGTCAGGACCTTAGTTTCCCGACTCACTCGGTAGTTGCTGTCATCTTAAGCTGCTCCGACACTCTGGCAGTGCAAGTCGTGTGCAGACATCTGCAGCACTGCGTGAACGGACAGCACAGCCGTCAGCCATCACAATAGTATGTCAGAAAGGCACTGTATGCTTACCACCATTGGCCAATCCGGGAAGACGAACGAGTATATAGCGCGTTCAACTCTCGCAGACCATTAGGCATTGGCATACAAATTCCGTTCAAGATGCAAATATACAGTCGTGAATACACTACAAACATGCCTGCGGGATCGTGTACAACAACGCAGTATGTCGACAATTCTACAAGTACGCGATGTGACGAATGACAACGAGAACTAAATAGCACAGAGAGCAAGACCGAGGAGAAAAAAACATGGACTGTATGTACAGCGTGCCAAGAGGCCTGGAAAGTGACTCAAGGTGCGCATACAATAACTAGGACTAGAACCGAGGACCGGGAGATCGACGCCCGACACTGGCCCAGCTCGCCTCGCTGCCGGGGTCCGACATAACGTCGAACGCGAGCTCATCGTGCGCGCCGCTACCCGGGCTGAACATCCCTGAGCGTGGCGACAGCACGTCGAACTCGGCGTCCGAGGGCATCTCGAAGTCGGTATCCGCCTCGGAGAAGCTTGGGCTATGCACGACCGACTCGATGTCGGAGAACGGCGACTGCACACGCTGCACAGGCGCCACGCTGCTGGCGGCGGCCTGTCGCTCGGAAAGGCGCTCGATTGAGCCCATGAGTGCCGTGTTGTACATCGCCGGGACGTCGGGCGTGGACGCTCGCGAAGACATGTTCGGAGACGCGCGTGAGTCCGCGCCGTTGAGAGTGACGGAGCGGGAGGATGCGGCGGAACTGACAGACATAGGTGTAGGCGACCGGGGAGACATAGCCGCCGGCGAAGGCACCTGGGGGCTGCGCTGTCGTTCCGCGAGTGGGCTCCTCGCAGACGACGGCGGTCGAGCGACTACAGGCGGGTCCGCAGCAAGCGTGGGACTCATAGTCCTCGAGGATTGCGGAGGCGAAACCGGAGAGGTGGGTAAAGACGAGTCGAAGAGCACATGCGTCGGAGATATTGGGCTGAAGGGAATGAACACGTTGGACTGGCAGAATACTCGACATTTTAGCCAATGTCTATCACAGACCAGCAATGCACTTTACCTCTTCCATTACGCCCGCAGTCTTACGCTGCCTTAGTCCAGATTGCGATCCGCGGCTACCCGTACCAGTTTGTCTCGATGGTAGCTGATCAAGCTCGACAGATATATCGCCTGGCCTAGCTGTCGCGGTGGTGCGTCCGGAACCGTGAACAGATCGTCTCGCCAAATTCTCGTTGCCTTCAGCGAGATCGCTGTATACGTGAGGTGCTACCGGTGCGTTTCGTTGACGCCTCTGCCGGCGATTCTCAACAAAGGATTCTGCCCAGACCTCGATCCTGGGGGCGATGTGGGGCTCGTATACAAACTGGTGAGGATCTGATCAGCCAACTTCCCGACTTTTAATAGTCGTTCTTACCTCTTTGAAAGCTACCACTGCAGCAATCACGCTGACAGCACCTATAACGTATACAGCAGCGGCTGGGACTGGCATTGCGACGATAACGAAGGTGAGAAAGTCGTTCGCAAGGACCTGGCGAGGACGGACGCAACTTTCTGGATGGTAAGCGCTCGTCTTGCGCTGCTTTGATCAGATCATCCACGTGATATATGGGCTGCGCAGTCATCGATCACAGATTCCGCGATCCTCATTTCGAGCAAAAATCGAAATGGTTAGCCACCGCCATTGGATATTGAATATCGAGCAGCAGGAAGTCCAGTATGCGGAAGATGATTACATTGCTATAATGAATTGTGATGTAGTTCAAATGGTAATGTCCATGCATGCAGTAAGATCGTGATGTGAGGCAGATACTACGCGGCTAGAAGTCCACTAATGTTCATGTCCGAAAAGTCAGTCCACAACCCAGTAACGACCGATGACGAAACAATGTAAACGAAGAATCCACGAAAGAGCCTATGACTGGGAAAGAATCTTATCGATCGCGTCGTTCAGGAACTGCTTCCTACTCGAGAGGTCCGCCTTGGGGAACCGGGCTTGGATGGCCTCGCGCGCCGTTCTATAAGTATGCTGGTCAGCCACGACGTCGCTTACAACGACGATCAGTACTCACTTCTTCGTAACCGTCATGAGGTCTTGTGTACTGAGGTAGTTTCGCAGAGCATTGATGAGGTCGTCATCGGAAGGGTCGGGATTCATGCTTGGCCCGGCGAACGGATTCACTGATGTCGCAAGAGAGAACGTCGACATTGGCCGCTGCATGGCGGCAATGCCGCCTGGCGGCGCAAAGCCAGACTGCGACCCACTCGCGTCACCCTCGCCGCCGAACATGTTCATATTCGTCATGATGGTGTTGCGTGGTGCATTCGGCATCATGCCATACATGCTGGCAGTCTGCTGGTACGGCATTGGAGCCACCATCGACATGTGGCCATAGTCCGACCCGGCTACCGACCCTGGTCCGCCTCCCATTGGCATGAACGGCAGCTGTGGCAGACTGTACTGCGACATCATTGGCTGTGCGCCGTACTGCGACAGGTTAGCCTGTGACGCCCGCCCGCGAAGATTTGAGCCTGAGCTCTTGTGGCCCAGCGGATTGGTGTCTCTGTAGTAGTCTCCCGCTTGCGAGCCTTCATGGAATGTACGCGGAGATTGCGACCTCGAAGGGAGACCACGAACTTGCGAGTGAGGCTTACTGCTGTACCCAGTTTCGTCCGAGTGACGTGAGCCCGTCTCCCAAGCCTCTGCTTCGTATTCTGCAAGAACCAGTCAGGATACAGATGGTTCACAACATCAACGTAGACAACATACCGCTGAACTTCTTGAGCGGGATCATGGAGTCGTCAAATTTCTCATCGTCGTTCATGATGACCTTCTTGTTGTTGCCTTCACCGATGACCAGACGAGTATTACCCCAACTGAAGTCATCCATGCACCAGAACGAGTACAAGGGCAGGAAGAAACTGTACACCGGGTATCTATGTGAGAGCAGGGGTTAGACAGCAACTAGAACAAGAAATGTGAGACGTACGAGAGAAGGTATACCACCATCCAACCGATCAACATGAACTCCCGCTTCAGTAGGAAAATGATTGCCTGCGAAGTATGTCAGTATGTCAGATCGAGGACTGGCGTACTTGTCGGCACGGAACCACTAACCTGTAGACCGTACACGGCAGCAATCATGACGATAGAAATCAACGGGAAGGCAGCTTTGCCGGTGGCGACAACAATAATCAAGTAGAACAGCTGAAGATGAGGTTAGAATTATATGTGCTACAAGGTCAACATGAAGACGTACGTAGACCACTGTTGCGGGTAGGATCTACAGAATAGTTAGCATTGGAGCTGTGAAAACAGGCGGAAGACATACCAAAGTACCCAGAAGATCAATGAAGACGAAAAAGCGCATTGAGAAGCAGCAGAAACCGATCATCTCGGGAAGGAAGACGAGCTCGCAAAGGTTGTGCACAGTTGAGTTGATCCACCGCCGACGCTGAGAGAACAGCACGCGCCAAGACTCGGGTGCAATCGTGCGCGCAATCGCAGCGGAAGTGAACTTCGTCCGGAACGTTGGGAAGTGTTTCATGAGCAACGTCGTCAAGAAACGGTCTTCACCGAGGGAGAGCAGGTTCTTCTTATGCAGTGTGTCGACGTTAGGTTCCGAGTACTCTTCAATGATACGGTTGGAGATGATAATGGGGCGACCTTTGTCCGCTGTCCGGATTCGGTACATCGAAAAACAACCAGGTAAACAAGACACTGAGCCGAAAAGGGACTCGAATGCCTTAGCCATATGGTGAGAGATGTAGTACTCGTAGACCTAGGTGTCAATCTTATTAGCCGTATCACGGAAAGCACATCGCACACAACGAACCTGAATCATTGTCCACCACGAACCATCCTCATTGTCGAGTCGTGTTTCTCCACAAATACCGATAATACTTGAATCATCTGCAACGGCGGCGACTAGCCTGTTTAGCGATTCGGGAGTCACAGCCTGCAAGTCACCAATTCAGTTGAGACCTCAGAAACAACGAAACCTGAACGACTGACTGTATCGGCATCGACCGTAAAGATGTACTCATAGAAGGCAGGGTCAATTCCGATGACATTGCGCATCTGGTGGTAAACTTCTAGTTCCATCGGAGACATTGGCGCGTCGAAGTGAACTCGATTGAGGTACTGCATCATGAGGATTTGACTATCACGCTTTCCGCGGTTACCGGGCTTCGTGCGCTCCGTAGGCTTGCCAACCTTCACGACGACGATATATCTATAACGAATGTTACATAAGTTTGCGATAAAAGAGAGCCGCGGCTAGACTTACGGTACGACATGGCCCTCAAACTCATACAGACCGGAATACACCTTGCCGTAATTCAGCGCCTTGGAGCCCTCACCAATCGACTTGAACAGGAGGGGCTCTGGGTCAAGCTTAGGATCGACACCAAGGATATCCAGGACAATGCGAGGGGTTGTGCGGTCGTTACCAGTCCCAATGATGTTGCCGTCACAGATGACGAAGATGAGCTTTCGCTTATCATCGTAGTTCAATGCAGCTAGCGAGTCGAGCGTACGCCGAAGTGATTCCTCGCCTTCCGTATAACAAGGCACCTGGCAGATGACGAACTTGTCGAGCATCTCTGGTGTTCCTGTGGGTGCCAACTGCAGCGCGGCCAAGACTGTGGGCAAAGGGATTAGACGCGAGGTCTATAGACAACATTGGAAATAACGCACACTTCAGACCAATGGAGGCCATAATGATTGCCGAGAAGACCAACAGCATGATGTTTTGCACTTGGCAACGAGGCGTCTGGCGGAAGTCCAGCTCACCAAAGTAGAACAAATTTTTGATGCAGTTGACATTGTCATTACGGTACGTAGCGTTCATATTGGCTAGCACGCCTTCAATCGAACTGGTGATGTCCTGGCCTGGTTGCTGTTCGAACAACGAAGTGAGATCACCGTCGAGGAACTCGTAAGAGGGCTGATCATCGTTGATGTAGAGCGTGTGGAAGTAAGCAGACAAGTCGTAGACGCCGTTGTCCCAAATCGCCCAGAGCCTGCAGAGGTGCTATCAGAACACAAATACAAACGCTGCGGCATAAAACTACTTACCGCTGGTCGTCCGTTGGATCCGTCGCGCCGGTGTCAGCATTTGTTGCAGCCCAGCTAGACACGTATCCTTTCGAATACACAAATGCACCGATATGGTACTGCTTCATCTTCGGTTGGAAGACATTAGTGTACCAGTTGTTTTGATAGAGCGCGCTTGACTTCTGTGATTGTCTCACGCCTGAAATATGCATTGCGGTCGGCACAGCCTCCGTCCAATTTGTAGGTGCAGTGAGATAGACCTGGTCGTTGTTCACGAGGCCCGGGCAAGCCAACGTCAAGGGCGGGGGGAAGTAGTATGTCAGATCCAGGCCGGCCAACTGTTCAAGCGCGTCTTGGCTGTTACTCGGCTCGCTCTGAATATCGCTGTGTTGTCCATTGATGAATTTGGACACGTCATATACCTGTCCCTGGACAGCAACATAGTAGTCGTTCGTGCCTGTGTGTTCCGAGACCTCAGTAGGATTCCAAGCCTTGTCGTAATCCGGGCAGAGCAGGCGGCCGAAGACAATGATGTAGAAGATGACGATACCGTTGAAGACCATGATCAACCAGAAAATGGTCACCTTCTCTCGCCATGCCAGCCGGACGTCCGGACGCTTCATCCGCCCGACCTTCGTCAGGAGGAAGTCAGGCGCCCAGAACGTGGTCATCCATACAATAACGAGCCACCATCGCCGGACACGACTAGTCGGGACTTCCTCGACTGCGTTTGGCGCCTCTCGCACAATCATTGCGCTGGCTTCCTTCGAGTGCTCGAGCGTGGGGGGGTTGTAGCCCTGGCCCGCCTTGTCCCACTCCGAGCCCCAGCCCTCACCCTCAGGCTCGCTTATCGCTGGTGTACCGTCTAGGTTCGGAGTTGACAGACCGACTTGAGCGTATCCGCCATTCCCACCAGACTGCTGGTATTGTGTCCCGCCGGTTCCGGTGCGCGATAGCAGATTGTCGTCGCTACCGTTGTTGTAGTACGTTGCAGGGGTCGCGAATGGGCCTTCCGGGTGTGTGTACTCTGTCGCATCATCAGGCAGAACACTCTCGCCATCCTCAGCACCTTCTTGGGACCCCTTCCGCTGCTCCTTCTCCGACGACCGGATAACGTCCTCCACCATCTTCCAAGCCGAGTATGTGAGCCAGATTGACCGATGACCGACGACGTAGTCGATGCCATCCTCCCAGCCGTTCGCGCGTGCACACTGCCGTATCCGCTCTGACTCTGAGCCTTGGATCCGGGGCACGAACCGATCACAGAAGGTCGTGTGCTCGTAGTCCACTATGAAGTCCGTTTTGCGACGAGCGACGAGGTCGGGGAGGAGCAACGCGCGGATCTGAGCCTTCACCCGCCGTTTGTCAAACGAGTTAGACGAGCCTGAGTCGTTTGGTCGGATACACGACACCGTCCATAGGCGTGTGCGGTCCAAGCTGGCCGTGATCTCAGAAAGTTGGTGGTTCAGCTGCGTGGTGATCGGGTAGGCCTTCGTCGGGTCAAGACGTGGGTGTTCCTCGGTCTCTGTCGGCGAAGCGCCGTCGCGGGAGAGAATCGGAGTCGGCTGTCGGAGAGGGCGCGAAGAAACCTGCGCCTGGACGATGATGCTCTCGTCCTTCGTATGTCGCTCTGTTGCCATGCTGGGGCCCGACATGAGCTTTGCAACGAATGGATCTGTCGAGTTGCGCAGGAGCCCAACGAAGGCCGCGTCGAGGATGTCTGCGTCTTTCTCGATAAAGTCGTGCACGTCGTACTGACATGGTCCTGCGAAGTGATTGATGCCGAACTGTAGGCTCGAAGACGCGCTCTCCGGCGGGCCCGCGATGAATGAGGCATGAACGCCAAACTTGGACACAAGATCCTGCAACATTTCCTCATCCTTCTTCTCACCGCTCTTGCCCGATTTGAAAGAAGAGCACGCCTTGTTCATCACCCCAAGCATGCCACCGGGTTTCTTGGTCGAGCGCTCACTGAGCTGCGCGCCACGCAGAAGCTCAATGCATGCCGAGTTGTCCATAGTCGTGATGGGCGCCAAGGAGACACCATCGCCGGTCAGCTGGCTACTGTAACCGACAGAGTCTTCGAACGTGTGGCGGATGATGTATGAGTGGATCACTTCATCGGCAAAGTTGATGCAGAACTCGTCAAAGCAGGCTTGGCCATGAGGCGAAAGCAGCGGGGCAGGGCCGCCGAAGTACACGGACGCCGAGCCCGGAGGACCCTTCGTCTGGAAGCCGGGCTGGTCGAGAAGGACAATCTGCGCAGGGGGCGGGGGATCCTGTGGGCCGGGAGCAATACGGTGGTTGGCAGTCTCGACAACAAAGGCGAACAGGATCACGTAAAGGTCGCGCATCAGTGAGTCCCGCTGCGCGGCACTCTGCTGAGCGTCCAGCATGACGGTATACAGCTCCTTTCGCACGTAACTGGTCCTGTTGGTGATCGCCTCGGTGAGATCATCCTGCGATACTCCCAACAACCTGGCAACTTCTTCGAGGACAAGCGGGTTAGCAACATACGCTGAGACATCCCGCCCATCCGGCTCCGTGAACTGCACGTTGCCAAGGAGTAGAATGGCAACGAGAAGGCTGAATATCGCCGATACATGCTTCGACTTGAAGCCAAGCGTCTTCATCGCAACTCGCAAGTCGTCCATCCCCGTGGCATCGTCACTGAACGGACCGGAGGGTAGTCGATAGCATCCTGATGAAGCAAGCAAAGCGTAGTCCGACGGGTCTTCTAAGTTGAAACGATCCCGTTCCTCAGGCGTCGCACCTGCGAGGAACTGGTAAAAAACATGGTACGTGCGCTCCTCGTACGCAAGGCGGTTGAGACGTGACTTGTCGAGGCCGTACGTCAGAACCTTTGCCGCGCTAATGCGACCGCGGTCATTGAATTGAAGCTCGAGGTAGCGGCCGTGCCGTGAGGCATTCGGATTCACCAGCGTCTTGGCGTTGCCGAACGAGTCGAGAAGCGGGCTGAGTGCCTTGATTTGCTCTGCAAGCCTGCCCTCTCTCTTCGAATGTGCCGAGAGCTGGAGTACTTGATTGACAAGTAGGTGAGATGTCGAAGATTTTCCAGACGCGGTGATACCTCTGCAATCTCGTTAGCACATGTAACATGCTATAGCACAGTGGACGTGGGGGCAGCTGGTCTTTAAGGTGATAGATACGCGTAGAATCTATATACCCTCGTATGAGACCAGCAGAATGCAGCAGCCTCATTGCCACACCGTGCGGCGTCGTCAACGGCCAAGTGAAGACATGGTGAAATATCGGATGACGCAAAGCACAGGATTCGCTCACAGGACAGTCTGGCCGTTATCACGATAGTAGCATTCCAGGAACACCTGCAGCTGCACGCATACCAGTAAAACCCACAGCCCTAAGAGAGAGCCGCAAAACTGTGGGTCGGATTGGTCACAATGAGCTATATCCGGCAGTTGTTTGTTACAACAGCAACACCGAACAACGAACGGTACGAGTGCTATACGGCAAGACAGAACCACGGGTCGATGTGAGGCAGAATCAAGCAACAGACGCATAACGCTAGTGTCCAGCTAGTGGATAGTACACCGAAGTCGAATTTTAGGATTCCGATGCCCCAAACAATACTCACCGGAAAATGACGGCCTGAGATTCGTTCCTCCTCCTCATGAGCAGATATACCCGCGCCGCAAGCTCAAAGGGGTGTGGTGCCAAAGGCGGTGGACCGCCCGGCAACGGCAGGCTAGTGTCCTTGTAACACCGCTCCTCATATTCCTTCGCGCTTGCGTCGTTGACGTTGGCTAGGGTTTTGTACGGATTAATAACGACCAAATTAGACGCGCCTACTCTTGCGTAGGGCAGATCTGAGCGAAAGCGAGCTTGGAGAACGGAAAGAATCGTGTCGTCGGACGGATAGACGGTCGCCGACGTCGAGGATGAGACCATGTCAGTGAGATCGCCCGAGGCGACAGCCTGGGATGGTTGAGTGGCCATGGCCGACGAAAGGAGGGGGGTGGAAGAGCGTTGACGACGCTCTGCACGTCGAGGACGCAGGCCAAGTTGGTGGTGAGAAATGAAGGTGATGCGGTCCTTGAGGCAGACGGCAGCAACTCCCCGTGGAGACGTCTCGAACGCGTGACAACGTGACATCTCGGTCGCTTTCCCTCCTTCGGCCGTGACTTACACACGTTACAATTCTCTCTGACAAATTGAACAGTCTCGAATCGTATGCTTCTGCTGCTGGCAATTCGGATAGTTTACATAGCGCGCCGTTGCAGGTATATACTGTCTATCGAATGTTGTTCGACCTCGAGCTGCGGGCATGAACTTGAGCTACGTTGAACTCATGTGTCGACGTTATTCAGAATTCAGAACTTATGCTCTTGATGAAGCTTGCACTTATAATGTTGCCCATTCTCCATCGATGCGACGACATAAGAGTGTGTGTACTAACTGTACCAGGTTCCCAACGACTTTGTGTCCTTGTATTCGCGAGATCTAATCTTATGTACTACCAGATCGAGTAGACGTCCTACCGTAAAAGGTGATATCGCGACTACCGGCTGTATTGCTCGAGATCACCGACAAAGTGACACATGTATCACTTCGGGCTGCGGTGGAACTTTCTTCGCAAATGCGTATTCAAAGTGTCGGCACCAATATTTGCTGCAAACGTTAGCATGCATTCACTATACTCTCAACACGAGTGTCACACTGCGCCCTTGCTCACAGATGCCAAGGAAAACAATTATTTGCGATACAGGATTGAATAAATACGATAATTCTGTCGCTGTAGCAGGTCCCAACAACGAACAGCCATCAACTGATAGCAGGATAATTTTGCTTGTCGTGATCCCACGCTACTTTCATAGCGGTTTCGCGGAGCTCCACGTAAAGGGCACACGCCTGGGATATCTACTCCTCTTCTGGTGGGTCCACTGTGGCAGGTTCTATACATAACACGACCGTGAGACCACAATACACGCGGCGACAGGGCAAGAGCCTTACCGGAAGTGCCATTTACAAGAGGCTCAGGCTGCGGCGCCTCGCCGCGTTCTCGCGCCAATGCGGCTTCCCACCCTTCCTCGAACAACTCCGGGTTGTCGACAGGGTGCGCAATAGCCGCGGCGAGTTTCGGCTTGGCCTTCAGCTCGGTGCGCCACGCCTGCACCGCATCGGGCACTTTGCTTGGGGCGTACGCTCGTGCAAACGCCGCCGCCTCTGATGCACGATGTGTCTTGATGAGCAGGTCTACACACGGCCTTGGGTCGCCGAGCTGCAGGAGGGATGCGAACGCAAGGTTATTTTGTCCTTTTTGTTCTATTTTTGGAGATGTTAGCGACGTTGACGCTCCTGGGCAGCGCGCTCACCTGCGGTTGCAGCCAATTTTGCGAGGCCGTCTCGGTCGCCGATGGACAGCAGTAGGAGCATCAGTGCACTGAGATCTCCAGCCTTCTCAAAGCTCTCTCGCGCGAGATCGAATCGCCACACCGCTAGTGAACGATCGCCGATCGCCTTCCACTTGGCCTCTGCCTCGAGCTCAGGCACCGACCGTGCAATGTCCACGGCCGCATCAAGGTCGTCCAGTTGTAATGACAAGTCAAACTTGTGATCCAGGTCCGTCGTGACTTCAAGGGCAAGCTCCTTGAACCCTGCAGAATCGTCTAAGTATAACTTGCTTGCACATAGAATATACGATGCTCACCTTTGCTTTCCAAGAAAGCAGCAACTTTGTTCCGTTGCTCCTTCGGAATACTGGGTAGGATCTCCGTGGCTGCGGCCATATCATCCCGCAAGACGGCAGTCTGGTACTCGACGAGGCTTAGCGATAATGTGTAGCTGTACACATTCATGTCCTTGTCCGCGAGGTAGATGTGGTTGTGAGAGGGAATGTACCCGAGTAGGTATAACGGGCTATGGGCCAATTAGTATGAGAGCTGACCAGTGAGTATGCCCGACCTACGTATCAAATGGTGTGATGGTGTACGACTCTGTGCCGACAAAGTAGTTCAGTCGGTTGGCCGCTGTGGTATAAATGAAGCAGTCTCCGATCCACTTTGCAGTTCGGACACTGCACCAATAATGAACATACAACAACAGAATGAGCGTGCACCACATACCTATCCGAAACTTCAGTGACGAGCTCGAAGGCCTCTTCAACTCCCTCGTCACTGAAGTCGCCGCCTTCCTCCAGCTTCGCGAGATACGCATCCCGGTCGAAGCGCAGGACATAGAACGAATCGTCTGTTGTGATAGCGACCAGAGTGCCCGTGCCTGACCAGAACACCTTTGCGCAGGCGAATTAGTTAAGTCACTCATCAGTCGAACACTCCACCTACATTCTTGGCATCTGCCTCGATTCTCCGCACGATCTCGCCCGATTCCCAGTCCCAGAACACCACAAAGCCATTACCCCGCGCGGCAAGCAGGGGTCCGCCATGCAGGCCGTCAACGCTCCATGAGCCCGCACCCTTCATGCCAGCCCCTGCGCGTTCCCGGAAGTTCTTGAACACGCGTACCTTCATTCGACCCTCGAGCACTGCGTATGTGTTGGAGTCGGTTGCCCACGCGAAGGCATTCCCGCTACCGAACGCCTTGTTCCGCCATGCGAGGGACGTATACACTATGTATTCCCCGTCACCCACAACCGTGACGAACCGGCCATTTGGCGAATGGTAAAGCGAGGTAGCATATATCTCGGTCGTCCCGAGCTCCTTAATCGAGAGCGATATCCGGTTGCCGTCCGCGAATACCTCGTCTTGGACTGTCTGCAAGTTGGCGGAGAGTACCTCGTTGTTCCGCGTATAGATGAGCTTTCCTGATGGATCCATGCTATATGTCGGCTCGTCGCGACCGAGCTTTACGACCACCACGCCCTCGTCGTATCCAACCGCGACCTCGTTCGAGCTCTTGCGAAGCGCGACACACCACGCGCGTTCCAAGGCGTAGCTCAGCGTGTTCTCTAACCGATACGTCCCGCTGTTCCACAGCTTCACAGTCCCGTCCTCGCCACCGCTGATGATGAGCGGCAGGTTCGGGTGGAACACGACAAACAGGACGTTGTTCGTATGACTTTCGAGCGTCTGCACGCAAGATTTGCTCATGTAGTCCCAGATCTTGACAGACCGGTCGTCGCTCGCGGTCACCAGGTACGGCTTGTCTGCGCCTGGGTAGAAGTCAACATAGTTGACACCCTTATCATGTGCCTCGAGCGTGAAGTTGGCTGTGGACGAGCCAAGCGACCACATCTTGACGGTGCGATCGAGACATGACGATGCGAAGGTGTTGGGGTCTTTCGGGTTAACGGCAATGTTCATGATGTAGTGTGTATGCCCCTCGTATGTCTGCGGACGTGTGAGTCTATTACGGACGCGAAATCCACGTATTACTCACCTGTATGCATCGCCACTGCTTGTCCCAGTCCCATGCCCTGATCGTCATGTCGTCACTGCCCGTCAGGACAATGCTTGCGGTGGGGTGCACGGTCAGACATCTGATGTAGTCGGGGTGCGCTTCAAACGCGACGACCTTCTCATGAGTGTTGTAATTGAAGATGCGAAGCTGGAAGTCATCCGAGCCCGCGACAAACCAGTTCTTGCGTGGAATAAAGCGTACGCAACGCACGGGCACCTCAGAGACTTCGAATGTCTTGACGATCGCACCCGTCTCGTGGTTGTAGATGTTCACGGTACCGTTGTAGAGACCTGTGAGCAGCCATGGCTCCGTCGGGTGGAAGTCGACGCCCTTGACACGGTCGGAGCGACTGAACAGCTTCCTCTGTAACCGCAGGGTCTAGCTATCTTCCGCGCGGACGATGTATGGATCACTCACGTTGACATCCAAAAGCATGGTGGCCTATAGACCCCTAACAGAAGTTCTGAGTTCTCGGTAGGACCTTGGGGCTTGCTGCACGGGGGTTGCTACACCGCAATACTGTTACGTGGAAGCAATAGAGCAAGCGTGGGAAAGTAATGATAACAAACTATCTTGTGCTATGATCTGGCTTGTTTTCTCCTTCCTGGCCGTGGAACTACGCTGTGGGTATACTGTATGTGCTCTCTGTCGCTGCCTGCTTTAACTTGGTTATATTATCTGATGTTGGTGAGCCTAACTCAGCATACTATGTTGATGTTTATCCGTCGTCGCAGTGTCTAAGTCGGTAGTGTGTCAAATGTCACTCTTCAAAGCCTGTCTAACACAATTTGGATCATCTATGCCTTGCGCTATCGCGACTGCTTGCGCATGGTATGCCATCAGCTGGTCAGCTGAGGCACGTTGTGAGACTTCTGTACTGTGAATGCGTCAATGGCGTTCATTTCCGCGTGTCGGCCGGCGTGCTGCCCCAGCCGAAACACTGCTTCCAACGTGGTCTTGGTGATGAAGGGTAGCCTGCTGGTCAGTGCACACAGGCGTCCTCGCTGACGTCTGACTGGTGAAATGCGCATGGATCATGCTGTGGTTCTCGAATGGCGAATTCGTCAACCAGTTGATCCCTGTAAGTACATTCGTCGGCATTGATAACGTTAACACGAGCCAAGTGATCAAGGATCACACGTGCTGGGCATGCGTGATCTTGTCTGACGACACAGCTATACACGCCCTGTCGAGCGATCTGGAGTCGACCATATCTTGTCTCCCGAGTTGCAGAGGATGCATGCCCGTCTGCCGTCTGCCTCGATGCAGCTGCGCCGTCGTGTTAAATATATATTCTGCACGCGCAATGTCCCGTTATTGTGCACAATTCGCATCCTGTCCGCTCCTTCAAACAGCCTCCTCGAAACCCGGTGACTTCGCCCAGCAATGTCGACGTCCGCAGGCCCCTCCACTTCCCCGCCACAGAATGCAATATCCTCGTCGTCGCCTGGAAGCCGGACTTCCTCGCCGGCTAGGTCGCTGCGCTCACGCATGGGCACCATGATGCGCCGTACTTCTACTAGTGTCTCAGCGATCGGTAAACTGAGTAGAGTTGGCTCGAAAAGTAGTCTGAAAGTAGATTCGACCCCAGCACAGTCTATCTCTGAGCCAGATGTCCCCAGTCCAGTTGCAGAGTCGCCCATGCGGGAGGCCGCTGCAGCGGAGGAAAGCCCTGTAATAGTATCACCTCTTGGCCCTTCGCCTCTTCACCAGTCGACGACAGCTCAGGAAGCTCCGTCCGTACAACCAAGTCCCCAACCGGCCCTTGTTCCTGCTCTGGAACCCGGGACGATAACTGCTAGTCCTGAAGGCTCAGAGGCCCCACGTACGCTGTCTGTTGATCCTCTATTTGTGGGCCCTTGCTCATAGAATGTATCAGTCGTTCCAGAACAAAGCAAACCCCAGTCTCAAGTGGAGGCCTCGTCCATGGAACCTCCTGCGGCCGTCCCAACGACGAGCGCCGTCAAATCTCAGGAGGCAACACCTGCAGAGCCTCCTGCTGTCCCTGCACCTGCACCTGCACCTTCCGCACCTGGATCCTCCGGATCTACGTCCACTGTTGGTCAGTCTGGCGCAGTTGTCCCCGCCTTGACCGCTATCGGCGACCTGCCAGTCTCGCCTTCCATTCTCCCCCCCGGACCCACAGGCCCAATAGCAGAGAAGAAAGGTCCAGACTATTTCGGTTTCAGCGACGAACAGACACTCGCACCAGACTGGGCCGGCACAGCTCATGCTGCTCCTCCTGTCCCTCAAGTGATATCAGCAGCCACGGAGGAGAAGCATGGTCCCGTGCGCGCCGGGACCAACCACGCTGAGGCGTATGCATGGGGCACGGAGATATCGATCTCGCCGAAACAGTCGATGGCAAGCTTCGCCGATCGCCGTGACGAAGGCTTCCAGCCAGCGCGAACGAGTCGTGCCGTGACTAGAGCAAGCAGCAAGACATCGTTGACGTCGTCGTCTTTCGGTGAGGTAGTTGTCGCTACCGGTGGCAAGCGAGTGGCTGTCTCTTTGGAGCGCGGCGAGGGAGAGGGCAGACGAGGCAGAAGTCCTGGCCCTAATGTTCGGTCGGTATCACCTTCCCATGGGCAGCACATTCTGGCTGACTTCCATGCTGCAGCGTGACAGTCGAGGATCCTTACTCCGACCCGTTCGCTGATCCTCCTCCGGACCCCAAACCGACTCCTAAGGTCACACCCAAGGCCACACCTAAGGCTGCTCCTGCCGCGAAGATGCCTGCGCTTTCGCCGATCGAGAGCTTGGATACTCCAGCGTAAGTACGTTCCAGTCAGTCAGACGAGTCTCAATACGTATGGTTTGTCCAGCCTGGAGATTGCTGCAAACGATGCTGAGTGGTCAGGACCGGTCTCCATTCCTCTACCACCGCAACGCGAGGTCATCGCCTCTAAGTGAGTGGTTTGGCGACTTGAGATTAGACCTATGATTAACCTATGAGTAATAGGGTTGTTCAAGACATACCATCCGGTTACGTGTTAGGCGATAGTGCGACATCTGATCAGGATGGAGCCCGTCACGAGACTGAGTGAGCGATGCTTATGATGAGCTTCATTCAGTACTGATTGGGACTAGTGAGAGGCAGCCCCTTCTTCAACGTTCCTCTACTGCAAGCCTCGGCGGTAATGGCAAGGTCAACGCATACAATGATGCATCATCGAGAGCTGCTATTCCGTTTCCTACAGGATCAATTTCTCCCGAGCCTGCGAGCACGTACTCGATTGAGAACGTGGGCTGGAAGGAGCACGCCCTTCCCGACAGCACCAGTTACTATGTGCATTCCTCGCTCCGTGTTGTAACCGATATCGACCTTCGCAACGCACAGAAGCTGCGTGCAATCATGGAGTATTTGAAGAGATTTCCCAGCGAGGTCGCCACGCCTCCCCAAGGATGGGAGCTCTGGATCAGGGAGACGGGGAAGACCAAGAAAGACTTCAAGCTGATTAAGAACTGGGTGAATCACAAGGCACGGATTCTGTCATTTGACCCGCCTCCAACCATCTCCGGTGACTCGCTACCAGATCAAATAAATGACGACGACCGTGAGTGTGTAATCGCACGTATATATCTTATACTTATCTTATACGCGGCGGAAATTCTTGTAGGATTGGACATGGAGTATCGTTATTGGATGTATCTTGAAGCTCACCCCGCGCATGCACCTCTCATATCCGATAGTCGCGCAGAAGCCTTGGATGCTCTGAGCTGGTCTTACACAGGTATGTAGAAACATTTGTTCGGAGAGTATACTCATCCTCTTCTCGCCAGATTCTCTATTACCGGCCTCAAGATCCGTTGCACCCCCATTCGCACCGCAGGAATGTCAAGAGCTCATGACATTACTTCGTTCTGTCGACGGTGTCAATAGTACAGTGGTCGTACAAACTCACCTTGTGGCGCGGGTAATGATCAGAGTCGGTAAGGCGCAGCGGAGTTTGAAATAACATGTCGTTGACAGTCTTGATATATAGTACAATGGCGACAATATCACTACAGACCAAAGAAACCACTTCCGAAAGACGCAATAAATGGTCTTAGACGGCCACAACACCGCACGCGGATCGGCCGAATCCTCGCAGACATCCTCGTGTCCGTTCTGTGCTTGGGCATTCCCTATCTCTTCTTGAACCGCTCACGCCGTCAACGAGTTGATATGGAAAGTGGCGTGCGCAGCTCCGGACCTATGTTCGTTATCAGCGCATGTGCTTGCTTGGTGGTGAGTGGTCCAATCAAGCATGTTGTAGCCGTGATTCATGACGACGCTAGGCTGCGATCATATTAAGCGCCTCGGTGACGTTTATTTCCTTGCCCGGCTTGGACGATATTTCCCGGATAGCTGGCTTGCTCGCTATCTTGTTCTCGGCTTCCAGTATGATCTCGGCCGTGGTCGCGCTCTTACAATACAAGGCAGACGCAGAGCGGACAATGGTGTACGTTGGTGGTGAAGGGCTCGTGCTGCTCACGGTCAGTTGAAGTCGCTCTACATATTCAATTAACCTGACATATATTTCGTAGAGGAGAAGTATAATCATGTCCCTCCCACTCGTCTTCCTAGCGTGGGCCACCATCACCTTTGTGTCAGGCGTCACATACTACTCTTTCCGGGATACCATCCTAACCGGACGGTTTGCACTCCGCAATCCGTTCGAGGATCATACTCATAGGACAATGGTCGGGACGGCGGGAGGAATTGCCGGATTGCTCGTCATCTCGGCTCTTCTCGCTCACGCATGATATTGTCGGGTTCGAATTCATGTACTACGACTGACGATTATTTATAACTTCGCTTTACGTTCTCACATAAACCAGTCATGCGCGATACAATCATCTTCCGTATCGAAGACTGCGGCCTGAGTGATAACTCCGTTGACCCGCCTAGGTCTCACCGAAGCAGGAGATCTAAGAGTGATGTAATATCATGGTGAGTCTCACGCACCAACCCGTGTCTAGGTCATGCCATGGAGGACTATTTTATTCTTCAAATTACCATCGTAAGCCAGTTGTTACTAACTTCAGTCCATTATTGCGTCTGCCACATGATAATCTGCCAGATGCGTCTTTTTCAGAAGCTGAATTGAGTTGTGGATCCTCATGTGCGGGTCAATTAGGCAGATATTGAACCCGCTCAACACGCTGATCATCCGCGCGGAGCATGTCCGCGGCGGCCTAGATGGCGGGGAAGTCATAGTCTAGTGTTGTGATTGATGCACATAACAGCCGAGGTCCGGGAAATGACAACCTCTCAACGTCCCTTTACTACATGTACAAACAAGACCACAACCTCGCGGTCAACGCATCCAAGATGTGTTACCCAAAGCTGCTCAGAATAGCTAACGTCACGCAGACTTGCGCTAATACTCCTCAGCACCAATACTTTGCATATCAGTGAGAACTGTAGCTCTTCAATGACGTGGGGTATTGTATACTATCCGATATATCGACTGTAGAAACACCGTACGGCCGAGTGAGCAAACAGAGTCTGCGCACACCAGTGATGTTCCGTAAACTCATATGTAGATTTCTCCATGGTTGGTGTATTATGTTTCCTTAAAGCAGACTTTGCACGCACGGAGGGACCTAAGCATTTTTGTGCAGATAATTGGTGCCACCAGCGTGATCATTATTTTACCACTCTGCTGATGCCCCACCTCCAGTGTCCAGCGGAGATAGAAAAATCGACCTCTTGGCAAGACCTCCGCGTCAGACTGTACTTTGTTCATTTAGTATATATTCGTTCCTGCTAAGATGTATTCCTCCTGAACATGATGTGTGTAGTTCAGTTCCATCTTTCCATGTCACGCTACGCGCCGTTTGGCTTGCGCTCACGACACACCAGCTCGAATCATGCTGCAGCTAGGTACACAATCTGTTCTTACAGGACCTGTCTTCTCACAATTATATCATCGTTATGTCTGCTCATTCATCTACATCAGGTCCGTCACTATTAATATCCATCATTCCCTTCGGGCGGTGTTCGCGCAAGCTCTAAAACTGACCAGTCTAACGTAACATCATGAGCGCTGTCATGCAATCACAACGCCCCCCGTGTCTAGTTGCAGTGTCTCCAGCACGTTGCAACCATTGAGCATAGCGGGCATACAACGTGCGTCGTCTTTTGTTCTCTTTCATATTATATCCTCGACTATGGCCCAAACGCGCGGCTGTTTGTGATACTCGTTTCCATCGGTGCATTTATATCATGCTCGAATCCGCATTCCAGACCACGGAACGTATTCATAGCACTACAGCAGGTAGAGTATAGGTATCGGGGCGTCTGACGGATACGACGCGATCCGCCAACCATCTCACTACACCGGCATGAGCTCACTAGTCGTAGCCGACCCTTGTGACTATATAGGGAGCCCACCGGCTGCCCCGGAGCTGTGCAGGTCGGTGGATATTGTGAGAGGCTGGAAAGGGTACGCTTTTGTTGACTCTGGATCGACGCTCCTCCAATTCTGCGCCTGCCTCCCCGCCGGCGTTCGCTGCGTTCTCTATCCCGAGTCAAGGTCTGGCAGGGGATCGCACCGCATCGTAGACAGCGTCTCCGCCCCCGTGACATCGTCATGAAATGTCATTTTGCAAGACATGAGTAAGATGATGACTGTAGGATAGATACCCCAGCCCAGCATGCTTTCGTACGAAGGAAAAGACACGGATTATGCCAAACGAAACCGCCCTCATACCCCGCTGTGTCAGCTCGGTATGAGCCGCACTTCGTCCAACCCAGCCATCTCACGTACGACGCATACTGACTGGACGCTACTTAGATGCCCTGCGAACGCACGGTACTATGACGGGTACCGGGTGTTCGCAAGGTCTTGGGCTTGGCTGCAATTTAGAAAACAGACGCTAGATTTCACCATCTTTGTTTAAATTGGACTGTTCTTCATGAGTGCAAATACCGCGCATGAGGCCAAGGGCAGACCGCAGACTTGATCCTGAATGCGCGGGGGAGTTATCTTGTCCGTCAAAGTGCCAGGTAGGACAAGAAGCCTCCTTGTCAATGCTCGCAATTTGTCTGATGCTGCGTACGAATTATCGCGGGAACAAGACCCAGTGCGTCTATTAGTATCAGGCGCCAGGCAAGCTTCCTGGCATGCTCCTCGGAGAAGTTTGTGGTGGCTCACGTTCAGGTTCATCGTGCAGAGTGCATCAACAAACGTGCTCGAACTGACGACTGATTCCAAATTGATCATTAGACCTATCCGAGGATATTTGTGTTCAAACGGGAAGCTAGGTCCCGGAGAAGGATTGTCGGGGCTACAATTTACTAAACTAGGTCGTTGTTTCCAAGGCCGGCGCATTCCCGATCCGTCTCTACTTACGCACACGTCGAGTTCAACAGGTCCAATGACATGGAACCAGCTGTGATATCTGTCGTATGGTTCCCGTGGGTGCCTTTCACCTATCGTGATTATCTGATCGTTTTCATATAATAGACCACAGAATGACTGAACCCTAGGTCCATTAACATAATGCACGATACAGATCAAACATCTCAAGGGCAGATGGATTGCGCATGCAGCGCGCGCTGCCTGATGACGCCCATCCTCCACTGCGATTTCTAAACGGAAATAAGAGCCAGGTACGAACTCGAAGAATGTTATACAGCACGACGTCAAGCTGTTCATTCCCCCCATGCGCTACTTAACAGCCTTCACAGGCAGTAAAGTTCTGGGAACGCCAAACACCCACGTCATCTAGCAATGTCGAATCCTCTTGCATCCACCTTGGAAAACGCACTCCACCGCCGCCAGGAAAGGCTGATACCACCAGTTGATCTTCTACACGAAATACCCTTCTCGGCCCCCGACCTCTTCTCCAATGATTATCTCTCCCTCACCACGGAACCGCAGCTACGCCAATCCTTCCTCGATGAGCTCTCTCGCTCTCCGCTCGTGTTTGGAACCGGCGGCTCCCGCTTAATGAGCGGGAATCTGAGCGCCCACACTGAATTCGAAGCGAGAATGAAGGCGTTCTTCGGAGCCCCTGCTGCATTGCTTTTCAACTCGGGATACGACGCCAACGTTGCCTTCTGGCACTCCGTTCCACAGGCTGGCGACGCTGTCATCTTGGACGAGTACGTCCATGCGTCTACCCGAGACGGGGTTGCGACATCTCGCATTAAGGGCTCCCTATATACCTTCGTCCACAACTCCGTGTCTTCCTTACGCGACTGCATTCCCAGAGTGCTGGAGAAACATCCTGACATTGCTGCGGGGAAGGGGACCGTCTTCATTGCTGTCGAGAGCCTGTACAGCATGGACGGAGACTTTGCGCCTCTTCCGGAAATAGTGCGACTGACGAAGGAGCTGGTTCCGCCGGGATGTGCTCATATCGTGGTCGACGAGGCGCATTCGACCGGTATATGTGGGCCGCAAGGTAGAGGGCTCGTTGCAGCGCTGAACTTGGATAGTCACATCGACACGGTCCTTCATACTTTCGGTAAAGCGCGTGCATTTGTAGGTGGTATGTAACGTGTCGCTTCGTACTTCGAGGAGAACTGACACCAGCGCAAATCGTCTTCAGCCGTTATTTTGACCTCCCCTGTCATCAGAAAGTACATGATTAACTACGGGCGTCCGTTCATCTACTCGACTTCGCTTCCTCGTTCATCTATCTGTGCATTGAATGCTTCCTTCGATTACATTGAAAGCCCCATTGGTACTGAGGTGTGTGTCGCAACCCTCCTGAATTGAAAGCCATTCTGACCCACTGTAGCTCATGGACCGTCTCCGTCGTCTATCTGTTTACTTTGAGCAGAGACTGGTCTCGACCTTGCAGGATATTCCATCCAGCCTTCTCACTCTTCGGGCACGCAATAACCCGCCCGAGTTCCCCGTGGAAATAGTCAGCCCCATATTCCCCATCATCACCAGTGCCCCCATTTCGCTCGCCAGCTTCCTGCAGCGCCTTGGATATGCAGCGTTACCCATCCCATATCCAGTAGTGCCCCGCGGCCAGGAGCGGATCCGCATTGTGGTACACGCACGGAACACAGAGGAGGAGGTTGATGGGTTGCTGGGACATATGGTAGAGTGGGCGACGACGATGCAGACACAGGAGATGCAGCTTGGGCAGGTCATGGTTGGCATGGTCCAGGCCATGACGAGGCCAGAAGTCAACTATTATAAGCTGTAGAAATAACTGGGTTACCAAAAGGTCCGTATTTTGAGACAGAGTAGAAACATTCATAGTCCCATAAGCGACTTAGAAGGAGCCCATAGTGACAATGAAACTAGTTATAAGACTAGTAACACTGGTTGTTTCTTCTTGCCTGCCATCATTAAGCGCACAGAGCGCATCATTTGATGGGATCAAGATTCCTCAAGCTTTATCGGGCGCTTACACTGGTTCCCCACAGCGTTCACACGCTCTATCCTATCAATATACAATGTCGAGCCCGCGCAGGAGCAGTCTCCTCAAGTTTCACAGACCACAAATACACCTCGATGATGCCCCCATCCCGACTCTCAAACCTGATTCTCGACAGTTCGTCTCTCGGTTTACACTGCATGATTCGTATTCAAACGCTCTAATTCTCTGAAGGTGTTTACAGAACCTACTGCAGTACCGCACCCCGCATTCACATGTCGCGTATCCCAAGTCTCGGTGCGCGGCAGTTCTCGTCGCACTGTTCGTAGGCAGGATGGGTGATCTGTATGTGCTGCTCAGTCGGTGCGTGTGCAAGCTCTTGATTAGCGTCCTCTGTAGTAATCACGTCAGCATTCAGTCGAGCCCCCACGCTACGGACCTATGCCGGTGACACTTCACTCCCAGGAGGAAAGTGGGAGCCTCAGGATCGCAACATGGAATGGACAGCGGTGCGCTTGTCCCTTCTGTCAAATGCGTATTGTACATGGTTCAACCGCTTCCCATGCAGCGACGCGAGGCATTTGAGGAGGTAGGTTCGTCGTACTCTGCGCACCATCAGGGCTGAATGCAGCAGATAGGCTTGCCAATAGACCGTAGGAAGGTCCCCCTACTGTGCATCGTCGAGCCGTTCCTCGCGGGCAACGCGCTCATTGTCTTCCCGTATGCTTTCTCTATCTAATTACAGGTTCACCTGCTCATGCAAATGATCCGAGTCAGCGTTGTCGTCCTCGTAGTCGACCATACCATCCGCGTACGTCAGTGTTCACCGTCAAAATATTACTAGACACCAATGTTAATACCCGCACCTGATAGCCAATCCTGAACGCACCAGAAGTGGCCTCCCTCTTCTCTCACCCACTCGCATCGCTCCTCACGTCCGAGCCGCCCTTTCCCCTTGAGCACGAGATGCTCGAGCTGGAGTACCACACTTACGTCGATGTGTCAATCCCGTGGCCATACAACGACCCCATGGGTTCCGGAACGGCATTTGTGCGCATGCACCGCTTTTTGACTGGTCGCGAGGCTGGCGGGACGAAGCCTATATTTGGACTCACAGCGTGCGTACACACCACGTCTATATCCTTCTGGTTTGATTGATTGCGTGTATGGTGTGGAATGCACAGGTCAATCTTGATCCGCGTTGCGGCCATCGGCTATGGGCGTGGACCCGACTTTTCGTTGTGTGCGCCTGGACAGCCTTCGATGGAAGAGCGCATTGTGCACGCCCTGAGGAATGACTCTGTGCTTCGCGAGGCAGCGCGACGGGAGGGCATTGATCCCGATGGAGAGCCAGATGCAGGCAAGCGCGCGGCGGTAATTGAGAGACAGCGAAGGAAGCGGATGAAGAACAAGCTGTAGCATGCTTACCAAGCTCAGAGAGATCATGGGTACGTCGATATACTAGGACTGGACCACTTCTACATTTCGGAGTAAGGACGTAAATCCCCCAGAGAGCTGGGATGTTTCATTGGTCGCATCGCTCATTCGTTTCGTCATTGATATACTGGATCGCGCAGGCATGTTTGAATTACAGCGTCTATTGTATATTTGCATTTTGGACGGGATTGGTGACAGTCAACACAGTGACCCGTGCCGCGCACACTACATACTTGGTTGCCTTTGTGGCAGATCACTATAGCCATATAGTGGTAAGTATACAGCGCTCTTTATACATAGCTGGTATCCCTGATTGCGACTGTGGCGTCCATCGACAGCAGCGGATATACAGACAGTACGTTTCATGTGTAAGTCAGGTAACTAAGCGACGGACTATTTGTCACTTCTCCCGAGTTCATGATCGATGGACCAGGCACCAGGAAGCTGGCGGTGTGAATGTCACCCATTCTGCCTCAACGAATTTGAATAGGCCTATCTCATCTATCCACATCTGTCATAAGCATGCAGTTGGCGTTGTTGGCTGCGGCATCATCTCATATATGCGTACTATGTTCACTGGTCGTCTCATATCCCGTTGTTGATTCTCTCGGAGAGGAGTGACAGCCAATGGATCTCTAAACGCTTCCGCACAGACCGAAGAGACGCCGGAATCAAGAGTTTCCGCTTCCTGGTCGCCAGCGACATGTTTCACTTGTTGCAGTTGTCGGTGGGTGTAGTGTTTCCCCGGAAAGCACACCGGTCAATGTGCTATTCATCATTGCAATGGATCACATGCATGAATTAGGTGCAGGCGTATCCACTAACTGCATCATCGTCATTGCTCTATGCATCTTGTTGCAAGGAATTCGGATGCAATGACCATCTAGATGTATCACGGACAGGTTGGAAAGGACTGGCGTAGTAATGCAAAATACAACCATTTTTTACCCCATCCACCGCAACCCGTCTGATATGAGAGCGATGAAAGATAAAACAATTTATCATGAACACTGGGTAAGCCAATTACAAAATGAAAACAAGCTGTTGCATATCATCCATCGAGGTGCTATAGCGTTCTATTGTTAGAGTAATCAGACGTTCAGACGAGGAGCTGGCGGTTTATTGTGAAAAGCTCCTCGATCACGTGTGAAGTCAACGGCCTCCGGAGGACAGGTGATGGCCTATCAAAGTCTCCTTGATCATGTCCGCTGCCTTCTCTGCAACAGCAATAACAGGTGCGGACTGCCATAGACCAAGATACGGGTTAGTCAGCATTGAAGAAGAGGCTAGACGATGAGAATTCCCACCGTATGTCCTGACGGGATCGTGGGGAACATTGACGCGTCGACCACCCGCAAGTTCGGGACACCGTGCACGCGTAAGAACGGATCCACAACACCGCCGTCTGCGCGAGGCGCCATACGCGCGGTCGAAGTAGGGTGGTAGAGTGTTTGCACACGGTCACGCACGAGTGCCTCAATCTCAGCGTCACTCTGCCTGTCCATTTTGTGGTTCAGCAGCGGGATGTCGTCTCCCGCGGGATCGACCAGTGATGCAAGGGGCTCTCTCTGCGCAATGCGCGAGACAAGGCGTGCGGCTCGCACGAAGACGTCCACGTCGTGGCAGGTCGAAAGGTACCTGGAGGCTACTGTAGGTCTGTGGCACTACTGTGAGATACGGGCGGTGCGTACTTTGGATCAATGACAGGCGCGTCATATGCATCTGCCGAATGTAACCGCAGAGTCCCCATACTTGTCGGTCTTCAAGAGTTTCAGCCTGGCCGAGCGTTGAAAAAACACACAATCCCTCACCTTAACAGAATGGCATTCAACCCGAAATGATGTCCCTTAATCGGGAACGGAACGTCCCCATGCTCCATATACGCCAGCGGAGTGAAGAGCACTTCAATATCCGGCGCATTCGCTCCGGAAGTCGTGTCTTCTAGTTGCGCCCTACCAGCATTCCGAAATACGTCATGAGGGAAAAGCTTGGGATCGTCAGAACGTGCAAATGACATGGCCTCAGCAATCTACAAGTGCGAGACGGAGTGAGAGATATTCTTCCCTAAGCTCAGATACTTCTAGAACTTACGTTACCGGCAAACGGGCCCGTACCAGACATGTAATATTGAAGTGCCGCGCGCGCGAGCTTGAATGCGAGCGACGGCCGTGGGATGCCGCGGATGTCAGATACCGTCAGGGCGGATATATCTGCCTTGCTCCTGTCCATGAAATAGAAGCTCACTATGCCGTGGTCCATGAGATGGGAGCCGACGCCGGGGAGGTCAGCTACGACGGGTATACCGTGCGAAACGAGGTGATTGGCTGGACCGACGCCTGAGAGCATCAGTATCTGTGAGCCTGTGTGAGGGAGATACGATTCATATACAAGATGTATAATGGGCCTCACCTGAGGTGTGTGTACTGCGCCAGCACTTGAAGTGTCGTAACCGCTGCATCAGTCTCGTTTTGTGTTCCCGATCCGCAAAGCTACTCACGCCAAGACTACTTCCCTCCGCGCTTTCACTTCGAAGACCTTACCTCGTTCATTCGCATATTGCACGGCAACTGCATGAGGGACCGTATTTCCAGCATTGCCCTTGTGCTCGAACAATATACGAAGAACCTTGGCCTTCGTTGCCACTGTGAGGTTTTTCCTTGCGAGGACTGCCGGTGTTAAGTAGGCGGTCTCTGTTGTCACCCGGCGCCTTCGTGCGTCTATGTATGTCGGGGTCTAGCGTCATGGTTAATGTGCATTTAGGCACAGGAGATGACTTCTTGACGACGACAAACCTCAGTTGATCCCAATGTTCCTTTGGAAGTATTAATATCGGGATTATAGCAGACACCTGCGTTATGGCAGGCTCTAATGAATTTATGTGTGAGCTCGGAGACGTGCCCAAAGTGTCCCACTGAGTATCAGTAAGCAGGAGTTGCACCATAGCGTTAAGTTGAAGGTGCACCATGAACCGGGCCCGATGATCCACGCAGACGGACATCAACTAGGTCGTGTTCTTTGCTAGGATTGTAAGTCTCAAATTTCATGAAATATCTACCATTTGGCTGAGATGTCTGTGCGCGGTCTATCGTGAGTATCGGTTACATACCGATGAAGCTGTTGGTATGACCACTCTTCTGCACCTTCTTGGCCCTTTTGGAGCTGAGCCCATTCATCGTAGTCGGACGGCGCTCCGTGGTGGAACCTGTAACGAAGAGCACCAGCTGAAGGACTCTATACCACAAAAGACACGTATTCTCGCACATCATAGCGTTGACAGAAGAGCCTACATTCAAAATGAACAACGATCAGTCACGTTTTTGCAAGCAGAATCTCGCGCCTACTTACAGCCGCCCAGCATCTTTCCTGAAAGTCGAGATAGTCCATTCATCTCCAATACGAGCGAGACACGCCGCTATATAACACTTACCTCTAGGCCAATACTTGCGTTTCGATGCTGCATGTGTTTGTGGTACAGTGTAGAGATTGTAGTCGAGTGCCGTGTGAAAAGATCGAGGGAACAACGCAGGAATCTGGGAACACAACGTAGTACGAGAGCTAACGAGTGTTATGTTTACGTCCACATGCACACGTAGAGGCCATATACCTTGTTCCCGCTTCGAGGAGCAGCACTCGGATACTCGGATCTTCGGAGAGACGCGACGCGAGAACACATCCGGCGGTTCCTGTGCACCGAGTGTCATGAGTACGAACCGAGAAACCAACGAGCCACCCACCTCCGCCAACGATGACAATATCGTACTCTGTGTCGATGTCACGGTCTTTGAGGCGCCGTCGTACTTTACCAGGATCGCCTGTGATATGAGTAGTGGAGGCCTTGGAATATAGCCAACGAAGCCCTAGAGCAAGTACGCAAAGTGCTGCAGGTGACAGTAAGATCGTCTTCACCGCACGCGGTTGATAGATAAAACGGGGAAGGGATGAGAAAATGAACTTGATGGTCTCCTCGACTGGCATATCGAGTGAGTCAAGTCTGGAGGGAACTACACGCCAACCCTAGAGGAGATAGCTCGTATATATACTTCTCTCCCAGAACTTGAGGCGCCACAGGGTATATATGACGCGCATGGTGCTCTTCGGATGCTTGCGACCGAATGCTTGTTTTGACAGTACGTGATCTGGTTTGGATCGTCTTTGTATAGTTAAATACAGGGACCCGGTCGATGGCGTCAATGACAATAGCGGCCTTGACATCTCCCTTCTCAAGTGGTCTTAAGCTGAACATCTTCGCCCTGAATTTTAGCTTTAACCCGAGCTAGGGGCAGCCTCACAAACACGACGAAAGCTAAGCAAAGGTTGTCCTTGGTGTGTGCACGCTGGCCGTATGTTCTTGTGACGTTACCCATACTGGATAAGCCCAGTAGCCACTGACAGTGGGAGGATGACGCAATACTCACTGAACACAGCATGGATGCATTGACGGGTCACGCGTTAAGGGGTACGTCCACGGGAGCAAATGTGCCGATGGGGCGTCCGATGAGGGCCTTTAGTATGAAGGCGGAAGTGCTCATACCAGAACACGTTCCGAATATGCATCAGTGTTCCCGGTACATTATGTTCCTGTCATGCCCTATCAGCTTCCCTGCAGTCTGCAACGTGGTGATGAAGTTTACCGGTAAGGCAAGCTATTGATGTCTATGAGCAAGTTGGCATGTTCGGACCACTTTGGAAGCTGCCGAAAAATAGGGTCGAGTTGCAGCCGGTGAGTCCACTGCGTTGCGTAATATAGAACTTGCGAGCAGCTGAGTAGTGAATTCCCTTCCATTGAAGCTTATGGTCAAGACGAGCATTTGTGGGCGTCTACATATGCGCCCACAAACCCACGCCATTTAGCCAACGGCCCGCGGTGCCGAGGCCAACCCGAACAAGAAACTGCTTATAACGGATGGGCCTATACTTAATGTAGAAGCATGATTGTGAAAGCAGCCGTTCCATTCCAATGGTGTAGCGTAGCGTAATGTTAAGCGTAAAGTGTCGTAAAGTACACATGTATACAAGAACAACTCCATCCGATGTGAGGTGAGATGAGAAGGTGGTCAAACCAAGCGTGATCCGCATAGCACGGCGGTCCTGAGCAACGAACGATGAGAGGATGGGACAACTGAGGCAGAGAGCGGGGACCATGCACAGCGTGATGAACATATATATGAGGGGTTGATGAGCAGGCAAGATTTATCAGCGTCCTGGCCACACCATCGTCTCGCTCCCTGTCTTATCCGGCGAGCCTGGTTCCTCTACTTCCGCATCCTCATCGAGGGGCACCCCGTCTGCGTCCAGCCGTACATGTCTCCCTACCTCTACGTCATCTCGGGGTGTGCGCGGACCCGCTTCAACTACTGGCGACTCAACGTAGACGCGCACGGCGATGCGCGGGGGCGAACCCGACGTGGACGCAGCATTATTTGTGAGCGCTAGTCTTGCGGGGTGCTCCAGTATAGGCGACGGGCTGCGCGTCCTGATGTTCTCCAGCGGCTCGGACACTGGGATGGGAGAGAGCGGGCGCGGTGAGGCCGACCAGCGGTACGGGATTGGCGGCGGGCCATCGCCGGTGTCGGCAAGAGGAGAGAGCCACGGCTGTGCTGCACTCGCGCGGGGCGTCCCGGGCACGGGTGATGAAGGCGCGGGACTGGGTGTTGGAGCGGGGAAGGAGAATTCTGGCGAGGAAGACACGCAATCCGCGAAGAATGTATAGACATAGAATGGCGTTGAGGCCGGCGGGGGCGATGACGCGCGGGATGATGCGGGCTGAGGGGCGGGTGGAGTAGGTTGAACACGCCAGTACGCAGGGCCAGATGGCGCGTGTGGGTGAATCTGCGGCGAGGTCGACGGTGTGCTAGACGGATGGCGGGCGAAGATGCCCCCTGACGCCGTCTGGCACGGCAGAAAACGCGTGCCGAGGGTGTTTCCACTGGGCAAGGACAATCATGTTAGGTGACAATCACTCACACAACAACAGGGCCGCCGGCATCAGATGAAGATGATGACGTCGACACGGGACGTGATCAACGTTATGCCAGTGGTCTACCCGCCGCCGCAATCCATTCCACGAGCGGGACAACGACAATGAAGGACTGAAGTATGCCAGTCGCGCAGCCGGTCGACCACTGGCGCAACATTGGAGAAGCAACCAGATGAGACTCACCATGCTGAACAGCCAATGCCTTCACGCACACAACCACAGGCACTGCGCATCATCTTGACAACGGCCGAGCGCGCAAAGTAAGACGAGTCGAGGGCGACGACGGCATCCGTGGCCTGCTCCTTCCCGACCCAGACACCACGAGGCCGCTGGGGGAAGGCGCACATGTGCAGCAGCGCGCCGCAGCCATTTGTGCGGCGTGCGCGTGGTGATTGCGAGGATGACGTCGAGGCAGAGCTTTGCGAGGGCAGCAGCGGGAGCGGAGAGGGCGTGAATGCGGTGCTCGGGCCCACCGAGAAGACAGGGTCTTGCTCCTCACCACCGCAGAAGAGCATAAATCCATGCTCGTGCTGCTCGTCCGCGCGCATCTCGTCGAGCTGCATGCCGCCGCCATTCGTCGCCGTCCCATCGTCGCGCGCAATCCATGGGGGCGGGTAGTCCTCGTCGCCCGACGGGTCCGCGGTGACCCAAGGCGGGGCCGGCGTCTGGGGTGGCGGCAGGTAGACGATGCGCGAGCTCGACAGATTGCTGCTGCTGGGGAAGATGGCAGATGACGGGCGCACGCCGTGGTCGAGGCGCATGGCACCGCGGCGGCGCAGGCGGGAGGCCTCGCCGGTGCGGACGAGATCAGAGATGACGATGGAGTCGTCGGCGTCGGTGGGCACGATGCTGGGGCGGCGCGGAGGCGGGGTGCGCTCTGTGTGGCGGCGGTAGATCTGTGGCATGGGTAGAAGCTGTGAGTGTCGTCAGAGGTCGTCAGAATGGATTGGAGAAGAGATGGTGGCTGCAGGAGACGGCGTGTTTACCATGCCTCCTGCTTAGTCAGCATCAGCCATCCGCTATTGTCGGGCGCGTCCTGGGCGTCGGTGGCTGACAGTCTCCAATTGGTCTCCGCCGCCAAGTGAGGCTCACCCAGCTTGGTCCGGAACACACTGGGGCTCTATTTCAGGTCAGACTTCTCCGTATAAGCAAGGGATATAACATGCATTCACTGTCGAGAGCGCTCGAGAAAGGCAGTGCTCGACACCGCTTGAGAACGTGGAGCCTGATCTTCTGTTTGAGAATGGACCTCAGTCTCATCGAAAGCAAGAACATTAATGTGTACTTCATATCCGCTCTCATGTAGGGAGTTCCGACTTCCAGCCTTCTAGCCGCGCTGATACCGACAACGGAAGTTAACAGTTCTTACGTTGAGACTCCTTAAATGTCATGCCTCCCTGGCCTTCCCCATCTCGACGCGAGTGCAAGGGACACCAGGCATTTAACTGTTCCCCCGTGTCATATCGACATAACTCAACCGAAGCTTGACACTATCAGTCCATGCCCACTGTCCCACCTTTCACGGAAACACTCTACTGCTGAACGCCGACACGAGGCTCGCACACCTATCTCTCTATTTATCGCTATCGATGAATGGACGTGCACCCGGCGCCATACAATGACGGTAGCTCGCAGAGCGCGGACAATAATCATCCCCCACGGTCGGGCATTCGTTCCTGCTGCTTTATGCCAGTGACAGGCGGCCTGTTTCCCGTGCCTTCAACTCCATTGCAGGACGTCCCCATATGCACAAGTGCAAATGAGCGGCTAGGGGGAACTATTACCTGATCATGACATGAGCGTTCTTTCCTTGGTTCCCTGTTATCGTATGGTCCATGGATTCCGGCCTTTGATTCATTTGAACGCGCTCATGGCCGACGATCTGGTGCAAGAAGCTCATGTTATTATTTGACCTCAGGGCTGTGCCGAAGTCATTGCTAATATTCGAAATGCGCGGTGATTATATCTAGTTTTTGTAGCCGCTGCAATTGATGCCAATTACATGAATTACAGCCGACACAATCTAGTGAAAACTGATATTGAGCTCCTCGCCTGTCATGTCTTTCCAGCGGTCAGATGCATAGGCGGTAGGGCATGGGCCTGACTGCTAACGGCCACTGATCTCGCGTCGCGACTCAGACTGACGTCCCTGCAGACCTTTTTCGGGAAGAGGCTGCATAACATACATAGCCTGCACAGGCGGCTGCATTTTTCGGACATTATGCAATATTTTGCAGATGATGCGGCGAGCTCCCGTGCTCGAGAGTAGAGGATCTCGCTCCAGAAGCTATCACAAATACTATGTCACGACTGCGCAATGATACATGTATTCGGAACCGGCTCGCGATGCCGGCTGTGGTCTGCATCCTAAAGCTCGTTGCTGCCCGTATTCTGGTGTGTTGATAAAACTGCTGTCCGAGCTTGTGTGACAACGGTGACACCTCCGGACAGGGCACCGGACCTTTGGTTGCCTTCAATATCCACTCAACCTCGGCTCCAAATGTCCGAGCAGTGTGGTCGCTGCGGAGAAACCGCCGAGCCGTCATCAGGCAATCGTAAGTCACAGCCTCAGGCCGTGTGTAGAGTCTAGAGTACAGTGATACAGGGACGGGGGCGGCTTAACAGCTGATTGGCCCATTGTACTCGGTAAAATAGCTTTACTTGACAGTAAATCAACCCAAACCGATATTCATCGTATTCTCAGGCATCGTCAGAGAGATCCACAGGATGGGACAGTATGGTGCCTTGCAGACTCCTGCTATGTCTTTACCGTATGTCCGAAACACCCAGGTCTATTCAACCCTAATTTATTGGGCCATATGAACTTTATCGCTAGTTAGGGCTGATTTACATGGTTTAATTAGCCCATACTAGGTAGCCCGTCCTGTTTCACCGTACCCGAGTGTAGCTCCCTGTGCCATTATTACAGCTGACGACAAATCAATAGACTACCTGGGCCGGTCCTCGGTTTGATTCACTAACTATCTTAGTGTGTACCGGCAGCTGAATAGGGCTTTCTAGACTTTGTTGATAACGTTGCACGGGAATGGCTCTTGGAGGAAGTAATGAAGATATTTAAAAGTAGGTCTATCTCCTTCGACCCGTGGGCATGGGCTGCTTCCTTGCACATTGCGAGTTAACTTTTACACAGCCTACTTCGCAATAATGAACATAACGAAATTACATGTTGATTAGTTTGAAATATGCATATCGTATACATTGAGAGGGTGTGTGTCAGCCGTGCCGTCCAGCCAATGCAGCCACCTTCAGCCACCGCCGACCGGTACCTACCGGAATAGGTGAGACGAAAAGGTGCGTGCCCTCTTTGAAATTCAAGTTTTAGATTCATATGCTTGCCGCTAATGTCAGAGTTGTCCTGAAGATTTCATGCCACCTATAGGGCTGGGACTACGGAGTTACCACTAGCTTACTAGCTATACCGTTTCGGGACGCCGTGGCGCTATGTATTCACATTTGTATATTTGCTCGGGTATCTCCGACAACGTAGAATACATAGCTGGGAGGACTGAGGGGCTTGGAGGACTTCTATGATTGATCGCCCTAGGTCTGTGGTCTCTTTGTATGCATGCGCTTACGCGTTCCCCTGAAGAGCTGTGCCGACAGTATTATTCGGACGGCAATGTTAGCCGCTTCAGCGAAACGCCGGTGTCAGTGTTAGAGCTTGTCTGAGACTCGAAGCGAGAACAATCGACAAACACTATCGCGGTTGTCTGAGCTCCGCCAGATGCGTAAGGAACTTACAAAGAGGCTCGCACAAGATCTGCAACATGCTACAAACAACACCAAACACAATGGCGTGCGCTCGCCACGATCCCAAGTTCTTACAGCAAGTTGTCATCTTGGCTCATAATGATATTATTACTGTGTTACTTTCCAAGGATGGCGATGTACCTATTGCTCAATACTGCGCGGCATCTCAGCTTCCTATTCTTTCCGAAGTTGCCATTTTTACGAGGCTTTCTCCTGGTATCTCAACCCGTGACATTAGCCTAATTGACAGGTGTGCTTCGCATGTTCCGGTGTACAAAATCCTGTACTGCCAAATCCTGAATCCAGATTGATGCCAACCCAGCTGCAGCTCAGTGTACACTGATGCAGGTGAGCATGGCGGAGCCTCGTGGCCGCCGATCAAGCCTCCGAAACACTCCTCGAGGCGGCCCTGCGTAGCACGTTGCAGCACGATATCCTGCGAGAGCAGCCCCAACTCGGCCCAGTCATTTTTGTGGCAACCCTGCGAGCAGAGCATGTCGATCGTTCGGCGGCTCCAGCGCTAATGTCAACAGTGCTGGAGACACCTCCGAAGGTCCCCGCTGTCGGCGGGACGGAGAACATGCCGCCTGTCTGATTGCTCCGAATTTACTGCCTGCATCGGGTTCCTTAGGTCGACTGCCACAACGTACCGCATAGTCTCATGAGCTCGACCGTGATGTGCATGCAATGGTGAAGTCTTTTTGACATTGGCCCGGGGGTAGAGGAGTTATGAGCGCAGGTGGCCAACGCAGCCGCCTGCGGCGACAATCGCCGATCGATCACAATTTATTTACTTTGTTGTCCGTCATCGTATTTACGGACAGGTGTAGTCTTGTCTGTGCGGATGTCTTGCGATGGACATGCTCGCATGCATGATGCCACGTAGGTTTCTCTGTCGCAGCCGTGCCTGCATCGCCGACTCATTACTGCTATCACTAGTAGTAGGACATGAGGATAGCAACGCCTTCGCGGCGTCATGACATCGCGAGCGGTGGCGTCGGCCACTAAATGTGCAGCTGTCGGGCTGAAACGCGCGTCTTATAAGATGCCGTCTTGCAGTGACCGTGGGCTTCGCACGCGTCTGGATTGGCCCAGGACGCCGGCGGCCCAAGGATCTGGCGCGAAGACAGGTGTTGTGGATCATGGCACCGCCCGCCACAACGCCCGATCGGGTGTGCTTACCCTCTTCAGAAATGTGCATTCCATTCTGGGAACGTGTGTTGCTTGCCGTCGGCGGCGACGCTGTGTTGCAGGGCACGCGCTCTCTTCACGCTCCCGGAGAAGCGTGACTCTCACTTGGACGCGTCCAGAAGTGTCAGACGCGGCCGGCAGTATATATTCTGGGCATATCCTGGTCCATGTCAGTGCGCCCCTCTCCCTTTTCCCTCCACCACCCCCCGCTCTGGACCCTCGCCGCGATCAGCAAGGTGTTCTTGGTTACCCCTCTCGTCCTGCGTGTGCAAGAATCGCCAGCCACCTGCCGTCTTCGGAACGCTGTCTCCTAGCAATCTCCTCAGTGTCCGTCGTCCGCTCATCTCAAGACAAATACATCATCGTCGCAGCTATGGCCGTATCTGTCTCGTCTCTTGTCGCCGCGATGCCCGCCTCCATCCTCGACTCATTTCTCACAGCCAGCACCTCTACCTTCCTCCTCGCCGCGCTATCCACCTTCCTCGTCTACTTCGCAGCATCTGTTGTCTATCAGCTGTTCTTTTCCCCCCTCGCTGGCCTCCCAGGGCCCTGGTACGCTGCCATATCCGACTTCTGGCTCACCACGCATGTCGTGCGTATGCAGCAGTGCCGCATCGTGCAGGATCTCTTTGAACGTTACGGCCCCGTCGTCCGCGTCGGTCCCAACAAAGTCGTTTTTTGCAATGCCTCCACCATGAGGAGCGTCTACTGCGTGCACAAATTTGACAAGAGCACGTACTACAAAAGTCTTCTAACGTCAGTGACATTGCTTTGATGGATGCGCCCCTCGCATTGATGTGTAACATTTGTCACCATTTAGGAACAATAACGATCATGCGTAAGTTGCTTCCTCAGTCGTTAATGTTTCACTGTAATGACTATGCTGTTATGGCACAGCATGACGACGCTCCCCAACGCCCAACACGCAGTGCGTCGCAAAGCATACGCACCTCACTACACACCGAGCAATCTGGTTCTTTTCCAAACCGATCTCCATGACTATTCTCTGAAGCTTGTTGATGTATGTGCTGTTCTCCCTGTTTGTCGATCCACACTACATCTGATATGTTATGACATTGACCGTAGATTCTCCACAACATGTCTGGCAAATCCTCGGTAGATTGCCTTAACCTCTTCCGTCATCTCAATGTCGATATCATTGGGTGCACTGTTTTCGGCACACGCCCTGGCTCTCTGGATAACTGGGCCTTGAATATGCAGGACCCTCTCGCGACGGCAATCTATGATTTTCCCAAGAGGGGCGTTTTGGTAGGTGGCAAAAACACAATTTAACGACTATCTTCTATTCAGAGCAGCTGACTCGTAATAAATTTCACCTATGCAAACAGCGCAGTGCGGTCCCGACCTGGGCTTGGAATCTCGTTTGTCGCATACCGAACCATCGCTGGCGCCAAGTCTGCGACTCAGACAGGATCATGGCCCAGGTCAGTCTCGTTGCGATGATAGGGTAACATGCATTCATTTTTTGTTGTGATATAGTTTGTCGCAGGACGACTGTACGAGATGCGAGCCAAGATCCAGGCCGGACCTGTGGCTGGCGGCACTGAGGCTGAAAAAGAGAAAGTCTCTCTCCTTCAGCGCATGCTACAATATCGCGTATTCACTACTCACGAATGCATGGCGGATCAAGACATTATCTCTGAAAGCATGGGCCATATGTACGTACTTATTGGCGGCCTATATTGGTGCATTGATTGATCCAAGTCGCGCCATGCTGTTAATTTAGGGTTGCTGGAGTCGACACGTCATCGACTACTCTTTCCTACTTTCTGTGGGAACTATCTCGCCGCGGCGATGTTGTCCGAAGACTCCAGCAAGAACTCGACGACGCAATGCCCGATCCTAGGGTGATTCCCGACATCTCTGTTCTCAATAAATTAACTTACCTCAATGCTTTTGTGAAAGAAGGTATGGCATTTCAGCCCTCCGTGGAGCGGCTCTGGACTCATCAGATGAAATAAAGGGTTACGAGTTTACGGAGCGGCGCCATCACTGCTTGAACGTGTCGTGACCTCTACAACTGTGTCCAGCGACGACGATAACTTCGACTTAATGGGCTACGCGTTGCCTCCTGGCACGATCATCTCAACACAAGCATGGAGCATGCATCGCGACGTAGACATCTTTCCAAGTCCCGAGACATTTTTGCCGGAACGATGGCTCGAAGTCGAGGGACTTGAGGGGGAGCAGGAAAGGCTCATGAGGTGTGTATGGTCGCTTCTGGCTTCGACATGGTGAAACTGACGGTCGGTAGAATGCACCAACACATGATGCCTTTCGGTGTAGGCACCCGTATCTGCGGAGGTCACAATCTCGCCCAAATGATGCTGCGCACCGTCATCGCCGCTCTGGTCAGAAATTTCAACGTCATCGCGAACTCGGCAGAGACGAACGAGAGGACCATGGAAATGCGTGATGCATTTGTAAGCGGACCTTACTTTCTTTAGAGGCGTGCCGCTGATGATAGTTTATACCTCAAACAGATACTCTTCCCCGCTGCCAAGGAATGTAAACTTGTGTTCAGGCCACGCAGCCAGTAATCAATCAGAGCTCTGAAGCGCCGCCGGTCTCACATCGGCCACTTCGTTGTCTTCCCTCTATACTTCAGTTATGACGCAACAAGTATCGTATCCCCTTGTAACGACTCCCCATGGAGGAGGTTTGCTCCCGCGCTCTGGTATTGTGTTATTCGTGGCCAGGATGTTGTCTTTTGTGTTATGTCTTGTTCCTATCGCTGTTGTTCTTGTTCGTGTTAATCAGTCCGTGCATATAGTTCTGTGTCGTCTTGTATAGCCATGTAGCGAGCCTGCCGTAGTAGACGTCATCTGGGGGAAGTGAAGGACGCAATGTTGGATACCCAGTGAGCGAGGATGTTAAACTCGACTCCGTACTGTAAACACAAATATACTATCCATCGGTTGAGACCTTATAATCTCACTCAAAGACGAAAGTAACCAGCCTTGTTCAAGACATCCCTGAGAGAAACCTGTTGACGGGCAAGCGCGTCCGTTCGCCCCGCGTGTGCGCGCGCGCATGACGCCGCGTTATCGCGTCGGGATCGGCGCGACGTTGTCGCGCCCCTGGCGTTCCTGACCCGTACTATATATCTGGGCCTCTTCGTTTAGCCCGCGCAACCTAGATACTACTACATGGCCGCAGATTATCTTCAAGTAAACCGGGGTTCATCGATATGCAAGTTTAACCTGAGATGTCTTGGGTTTTTCTACGAATTGGCGAACCCGGGTCTTCGCCAATCTCCCCTGGATTCAGTCAAACCTGGCTCCCGGCGACCCCAGTTCCTCCAGGTCATGATACCGGCACGCATCCTCCCGAATACCCGAATATTGCTCCAGATTCTGACGTGCTAGTTAACCCGAGATATTGTAAATAATTCATATATTATGTTTTGCGCTTATACTACAGATATTGTACGAAACAACGACCCCACTGGCACGCATACCATCACGCCAGTGGCACGTATTCAGACCACATACCTTGAACATTGCACTCCTATACTCATCACCCGCGCCATCCCCCGACCCCATTGCCCGGATATCCTGTTCACATCGCTCTCGAAGACCGTGAACTCCTGGAAGACAATCAAGGCAGTCAGTACTGTCAGCAGTAGTGTTAGTAGTTTTAGTAGCATCAGTACTATCAGTAGTGTCAGTACTATCAGTCGTGTCAGTACTATCAGTTGCGTCAGTACTATCAGTCGCGTCAGTCCGTCAGTGGCATTAGTAGTGTCAGGTAAATCAGTACGTCAGTAAGTTAGTACAGTTAGCACATCAGCGGGGTCAGTACGTCAGTGTCAGCACCCACCCCCCAGCGATGAGCAAACCAACACTCACCTTGCCGCTGTGATCAATGCTGCATGTCGCTCGCGCTTGGTCCTGAACCCAGGAGTCTGCGTGAGGCTGCTGCGATCAGCATGAATCACTCTGGCAGTAACCATACGTACGCACCTGCTAGAGACCTCCGCCCCGATAAGCATACAAATGGGACGCACCACGTTCGCAGACACTTGTGAGTCAAGCGAAGGTCATCATTTGGTCACAAGTGTCACGCTGCTGTCATGGTCATGTGTCACTCTACTGTCTCACCGGACTCAGTGTCGGCCCCATCCTGGCTGGCATTGGGTTCATCCCGACTCCCGTCTCAGGTCGGTGCTGGGCGGCAGGCGGATGGGAGTGGAGCCAAGGTCAATTTGGGTTAAACCCGATCCGCAGTTTGCAGTTTTGCCCGGAGTGTGTGAACTCAGGTTTATCTCAATATAGTCTCTGGCCGTGTACGGCACGCTATATACCAGTCATCTTCACGATGCGAGCTTCAGTTGATGTTTCACTCACTGAAGCTCTGACCGAACGTCATTAGATCCAACGTCACTCGTACCTCGTTAATAAAACCTACAGTCTGACACTTGCATCATGAATTCTATAAGACTAGTCATACATCCCACCTTTTCTACCTTTGCAGCTTATGTATGACAAAAAAGCAAATGTGAGAGATCATCTTATTTCTTGTAGCAGGGGTCTGCGTGTTGGAACAATGGTGCGAACAGCGATGGGGCGTGTTTGTCCATGGGCGAAGCAATGCCCGTAAGGGACAATCACGTGTGGTACATACATCGCACGCAGTCGTTATATACTACGATAGGGGGCCTCCGGCCCCCAGCTACTCGCGCACCCGAGCTTGCGAGCTCATTCCTGACCACGTGGGGCTGCGCATTTCAACACACTCCCTCGAGCAAAGCAAGCGAGGGGCTCGCGCGCACTCCCTGCTTCTCGGCACTCGGCACTCCCTCAATCTCAGCATCTATCCTCACACCCTCTCGGCGGGTCCACGATCCATCCCCATGTCCGACATCCGGCCGATAGTCCATGCTCAAATGAGCTGCGACGGGCGACCCTTAGGCGCAAAGGTAGGGTGTATGACGTATGGTGATCTTCATCAACATCCTCAACTTGGCATCAACTCCTCAGCTCCAACTCCTCGGCTCCAGGTTCGATCAGTGCTCTCGACGAGTGGTTCTTGATACAACGGTCTACACTCCTATATCGATGCCTGACTCGTAGACGACGAGCGAGGACTTATGGACAGTGCGTCGTCCTGAAGATCGAGCGAGGAAGTCGAGAATGACCACTACCCCAAGCGAAGAGGAGCAGAGACTTGAATGAATAACCAGGTCGAACTTAGGGTTCGACCGACTAATGGTACAACTACTTATACAAGTACCGACTGCGCACGGACCATCGTGTCTATGTGGTCGTGTTAGTGAAGAAAGAAACGTAGTGGTACGGTACCAGGCACGAAGTGCGCACGGACCCCATTATGTAAGCTACATAATGTTCAACCTGCGGGTAAGCGCTAAGACAGGCGCCAGTATGGGCGCTAGTAGTACAAGGAATAGAACGGAAAGACAAATGTTTCATTACCCCCCTACCAGAGTCGAAGTCCCATTCGACTACTTACTGCTCACCGTCTCCATACAACTCCCAATCTACGCCGTCGTCCTCCTTTTCGTCGAACCACTCCTTGCGTGCGTTCCTCCCTACGTTCATCCATTCCTCGCCAGAGAGGTGCTTCTGATTCGGCCAGGAGCTGTCCCACGTCCATTGGGTGGTGTCCGGTGTCCAGTCAGGATCGACTTTGCGAAAGACGACGGGTGTATCGGGGCGGGGGCGTGAAGGTCCCGCGACGGGACTGGTGGGGGGTTCGGGGTTAGCGCTACGCGGTGGAGGGATGGGTATCGCTTTCGTCTGCCTTTCTTTCCTCTCCTTCGCCTCGTTGATGATTCCTTCGAGGAACACGTTGTCGACGACCACCCCCACGTGTCGCGCAGGTTCTTCAGGTGGTGCGGATACGTGTCGCTTCATCGGCCTGGTTCCGCACTCTCGCTCCAGGTGTCCAGGGGCTTCTTTTCCGCATCCTGCGCATTGTACGTCTGGACAGTCCCGTACCCAGTGTCGAGACGATCCGCATCGCCTGCAGCTTCCCTTTGGGGTCCAACCAGGGTTGGGTTGCCAGTCAGCCGGGATGGTAGTGCTCCGCGGCGTTGCTTGGAGGAAAGGGGATGGGATCGGGAGGCGCCTGAAGGCAGACGTCGGTAGGGGTGCGGGTAGGGGTAAGTACGCGTTGGGGATGGCGCGCGGGATGAATTTGTTGTGTCGTGCCCGGATGCTGCGTGGTAAGAGCGGTTGAAAGCGATGGGCAACTTTCAGATTGTCGAGCCGGATGAGCTCGGTGAGAACGCGGTCGTCCTGTTGGCGTAGGAGCCGCTTGTGGTGGTCGATGGCCTCGTCGGCTGCCTTGACAGCCTCGTCGTATTCGCGGCGGGCGGAGAGATACGCCTCTAGTGCAGCGCGGTCGGTGGCATTGGTTGCCTCGGGGTTGTGGGCTTTGAGCTTGTTGAAAACGTCGGTGGGATTACTGAGAAGGAGCGTCAGCAAGGTGCTGTCGCCGACGTGGGTGTGCTTAGGGGTGTAGATTGAGAGCCTTTTCCCGCCTTCGGTCGAGGGGGCGTTGAACTGGTCGAGGAACGAGAGGGTGGAAGACATGTTGGTGCGAGTGGGGATGTAGCGACTGGGTAGAGCTGCTATCGATTCAGCTCAAGTCCTTCCTGTTCTTATACTCTGCCAACACTTCGTCAGCCGTCCCAGTCAGGTTTGCTTCGGGCTCCCATGAGTCAT